CAAGGGGATTGGACTTTGAGCACGTGATAAAAGCGAAAGCACACAAGGGAGGGGTGAGGATAGGTAAGACACCTAAAATATTAGCTAGCATTGTTGCCCTTCACGCAGAGAAACTAAAGCAGATACCTTAAAAGCAACTGAGGCCAATAGGAAAAGGAGACCAGGAACTAGAGAAAAGGTTAGCTCAAAAAGAATTAACCTAGAAGGTAACACACACGCACACAGGAAATTAATGTGAGTCAACTCCCTGTATAGCTATCCTTATCTCAACCAGCAAAAACCGTTGTTCCTTCCTATTATTGCTTATACTCTCTCTTCAACAAAATTAGAGATAAGGGCAAAATAGTTTCTGCTGGGTATTGAGGGGGTGGGGGAAGAGCGAGGTGGTGGGGTGGGTGGTAAGGGAGGGGGTGGGGGCAGGGGGGAGAAATGACCCAAGCCTTGTATGCACATATGAATAATAAAACAATAAAAAATAAGTCACATGCCAAAAAAAATCTCACCCAGTGAATGAATTCTTGCATATCCCATTTTACCTTCTCAACCCCTTGACCAGGCAGCTTTAGAATATGATTCCAGCATATTCCACTGGCTCCTGCCAGTGCATGTTAGCTAATTCTTGGAGCTCCTTGGGATGTAATGTGTTTCCTTCTTTATATACCAGCATATCCTTAATCAGGTTATGCTGGGCTTTAACTCTAATTCTCCATCTGGCAATGAGGAGAAGAGGAGGAGAGTGGTGTGTACAGCTCCTACTGTCTGGTTAAGAAGAGGCCTCTCGTATTTTCTTCTATCAAGAGGATGGGAAGGATGGGCCACCTCTATTGCTCTGAAGTATAAGAAGGGTCTACTGAGCCAAAATTCTTAAAGCATCTGTCCAAACACCCACTATTCTGTGTTTCAGGGTCCCAGGTTTTCTCAGCAGACCTCCTTTGACTATTTAACCATCTAGATCTTTACAATATGATGGAATATGCAATATTTTGAGTTTGTGCCTCAGCTTTTTATGGTTTTTATTTGCATATTTATATGTCTCCTCCCCAACTAGAATGCTACAATGTAACTGCCAACAATGCACAAACTTTGTCTCACTACTGCTCTATTCCTAGCACCTGTAACTGTTTCCTTCTTGCCAGGCACGCAATAAATGTTTATTGAATAAGTGAATGATTAATGAATTCATAAAGCTACAATGGAGCAAAAAACAATAGTGTATGCATCCTGAGGGATTTAATAGGAATTTTCAATGATAGGAGAGAAAGCTTATGCAACAAGTGAAAGAAACCAGGAGATGTACACCTACAACTTCTCCAGCCATCTTGGGGGGAAATAAAAAAGAACATCATGCAGTTTATACATGTACTGAAACATGATATGATACCTCACTAATCTATACAATTTTATGTCTTTATGGATCAGTTTAAAATAACAAGCTGGAAGGAAATATCCTAAAATAGTTACAATAGCATTTAGAGGGTTATTTTAGCACCCTTCTTCTGGTTGTGTGTGAAGAAGCCTGGGAAGACTGGAACATGTTATCTGATTCAGGCCCCCTACTACCCTGACCAATTACTTCCTTTTACCAGGGAGGGAATGTCAAAGAGAAATCAAGGACACCCTAACATTTATCCTAGATAAAGATCATTCTGAAGATAAAGAAAGGATTTGGGACAGAGAAGAAACTGAGGATAATAGATTAATTTTTGCTTCCTTTAGTATATGTTCACCACCATTTGAAGGCTTCCAGAAGAGTGTCAGATCTCACCTATATCTGATGTAAACCTCAACGCAGCCTCCCCAACTAATATAATCTGTCTAGGTCTCAAAAGATAGTTAGAATTGAAAGACTCCTGTTAAGTCCCCTTGGCATTAGACTAGTTTTCTGGTGTCTCTTGTATAAATACTTATTCTGAAATATGTGAAGCTAATGAGAAATCAACCCAATAGTCTATTAAACATGGGTAGCTACTTTGCTTAGAAAATATACATGGTAAAAGACATCACCCTAGATTCAGAAAGCTTGAAATTTATTTGAGCAGGTAAAACACTAAAATAGAATGAAAATAAATGTGATTACTCCAAATGAGATATGAAAATAGTAAGGGGAAAAGTAACTTTAAGAAGGGAATAGTGAGAGAGTTAGGGCAGGCCTTTCCACAAAGTTGGAATATGGCCTGGACTGAAACAGTGAGTGGAACTGGCTGGATAAGCAGAGAATAGGTGGGGAGATACCAACAGACAAGGGGAGACCTAGATGGATGACCAGTGCAGAACATATGGGCCAGAAAAAGGGTGTTTTCTCAAGAACTTTTTGAGAAAAGCATTTTTATCAGAATTATACCAACATATTAGTTTTATCTAGAATTGGCAGTATTAAATTATAAATGATACTTTGCATTTTCAACTTACTTAAACTTCCTTTAAATTATTTCTTTACCTTAAACAATTTTAAATGAGAATTAGATTTATCCATCAGCTCTTTTACATAAATCTTTACCAGTGATACCTTACGCCTTTGCAAGCCATTTTCTCTCCCAATTCTAACAGTTTCAGATCATTTTTTGTAAAAAAATCTTATCAATAAGGTTTTATTCTTCTATTAATTTGTAGTAAATAATACACATGACACTTTTAGCCATTGCTATTTTACCTCTTGATTGCAAATCTCAACTTCTCCAGAATTAACTTCTAATTGTAGAGTAACAGTTATAGAATTAACCAAGTACATTTTAGTAATTATTTTTATCTATAACACATTTTACACAGGAGATTTTAAGTCACAGTCTATTTTATACTAAATATCTCTACTAGCTTTATGCATTATGAATTATTTTAAAGGGATGATAAATTGCACTTTCTAGCTGAAACATGAGAATTTTATTGCCCATTCCCCTCAGCTATAATTCTCTATTGTCCAAATTGTAATGCTAATATATTATACTGCAAATCTAATTCTTCTAAACACTTTCATCCCTGCAATTTTCTAAAATAAAGATCAGTGGCACTGGCAGAGTGAAAACCTAGCTGCCAGCAACAGAAACTGACTCTAATTTAAAAGAAAAGTATTTGTTGAAAGGATATGAAGGTAACTCGCAAAATCCCAAGGAACTGAACTGGGAGATGATGGAGCAGTGAGTAATGGTGAAGGACAGACAGCAGAACCGGTCCAGACTGGCTACCCCAGCTGCCAGAGCAGACTCACTCTGCTGACTCTGCTGGCCCTGTACAGCTGGGTCATGGTCCAGCACAATGGCCCCTCCAGGGGCCAGACAATTTCTGGGAAGGCTCTCTCTATTCCTTTTCAGTCCCAGCTCTCGATGAGAAGCCTGAGTGAGTGGATCTGGGTGGCAAGGACAGGGCACATATCTGCCTTCTTGCTGCAGTAGATATTGGGGGTGCAAATAAAACACAACTCCCACCCAGATTGTAAAGGGGGAGGGATTCCTCAACACAGGATGAGGTTCATTCATATTCTGGACTAGAAAAAAAAAGCAAATGTTCATTAGAGAGAGCAAATGCCCATAAGAGCAGAGAGAAAATATCCTTCCTTGTTCAGAGAAATACCAGATGTGGCAGAGTGATCTCAACTGGCAAGATGTTCACCGTAGAACTAATGTTTTACTTCTCTATGTTCACATTCAGCCAATCATCAGTTCAGGTTCTCAGGCAGAAGGCAAGCTAAAAGATTAGTAAATTATCCAAGAAGGAAGCAGAACCATAGTGTTTAGTAAATGTTATAATCAGAATGTTCTTCTCAATGGAGGGAGTGAATTCAAGTATGATATATTTGATAAGAACTCTTGTAAATGCCACAATGTGTCCCCAACACAACAATAAAAAAATGGGGGAAAAAAAAGAATGTTTTCTCTGTATCTAGAGAACATCCTGTATGAAGCAAGTGAATAACACACTGAATAGGCAGGTACATTAGTGTTGCTGTTAGAGCAGTTGGGGCTTTAAGATTTAAATGGGTAACTATAAAAAAAGTTACTGGTTTCAAGGCAGAATGTTTCTATGAAGAATTTTTTAAAATAATTCTTATGTAGGTATTTATTACTTCACACCATTGCTAAAAGTCACAAAGTTTAAACTAAAATTATATAATTGCCTACATTTAATTTTAAGGATAAATTGATACTAGATGTAATTTTGAGTATTTTATGTATACAATACATATGACAAATAAAAACTGTGTGTGTGTGTGTGTGTGTGTGTGTGTGTGTGTGTGTGTGTGTGTTGCTGGGAATGGAAATGAGGGCTTTCTTCGTGCTAGGCAAGTGTTCTACTACTGAGCTACCTCCCCAGCCCCCTCAAAACAACATTTTTATTACTTAGTTTCCAGAATAGCACACAAGTCACAAGACAATGTTTATGCAACCGACACAAAGATTAGAGAATGCCAAACTTTAGGATTTAAGGATCTCCTTTGTCCTGTTTTTACTGTGCCTAAAGCTGCTGATTTAAGTCTCCAAAATACAAAATATTTTACAGTAGTGATTCAAGATAATATTTTATTAGAGCAATAGCTTTTCCAATGATTTCTCATGTCAGGTGATGGTTCCTCCTGTGTGTGTAGAGTTTACATAGCATTTCCTCTGTCCTCTTTGAGATAATCTGGAGTTCAGTTGGCCCTCAGTATGCCTCCTGTATCTCTGGGCCAGGTCCCTAAACAGACTTCTTTCTGTCTCTAACCATCTGGCTAACACATTTTTACTATAGCTCAGACAAAAGGGTGGGCAATGGCCTGCTGAATTGCATGGGAGAGAAAGTAGTGCTTTCTTTCCAGTCTTCTGAGTCTTTCTAGGCTTTCCATGTGCACAGAGGTTCACCTCATAAGTCCACTGAAAGGCTGTCCGTAGGAATTTTGCTGTGGATGAAATCAAAGGCCGCTCAGAACCACAATTAGAACTTAGGAAATTTATAGTGTTAAATCAAAGTCATAGACCACCACCACATCTATTATTCTTTTCTGTCAGTAGCTACTTAATGGGAGTGTTTATCTCAACTCCGTATTTAGCAAGCAGTGCTATTAATCAGACCCATCTCTGTATCCACTGTGAGTGAGGCAAGCATAGTTCAGGCCTTCAGGCTTGCCAGGAGGGCAGTAAACCACTTGTTTTTCTTGGCAGAAATCTTTGTCTGCCTGTGGTCCCATCTCTTCTTTCCTCAGTCCACAGGATTCAGATTCCTTGGAGTCCAGAGGACCCTCAGAATTTTCTTCCATTTGGCTGCATTCTGTGGCAAGTACTATATAGTTTAGACCTTCTTGGTTCTTGGTTTCTGTTAAAGCAACTGGCATAATTCCATCTGAATTCAAACTAATCATATTGTCATCTTCATCTGTGAAAAAATTATGAACGTTATTGTAGCATCTATTTCCTTTATTTGTACTAATATATAAGCTATTGAGAATATTAACACCAACTTTATATATTTGTTCAGCAAGCATTTATGAGGACCACTAAGTGCTAGGCATGCTCCCTATCCTTGAATCTACTGCTGTTTAGTAGGGAAGCAGATTATAACTATGAAAGGTTATGTGCACTTAAATGAAGTACTATATAAAATGTGATGAGACCACAGAGGTAACCAACTTTGTCTTAACAAGTCTTTATGATAGAATGTAAGTGACCCCCAGATAGCTCTTGTCACCTGAAATACCCTTCCATTCAGCCACACCAGCTGAAATACCTGCTTTCAAAGATTTATTCCCTCTGTATTTACTGATTTAATCATTTATTAAGATAATGTTTATTGAGTGCTTACTACAAGTCAGGCTATATTTAGGTATTGATGATACAATTTGTTGCTCTTTAGAATTTGAATTCTAAGGGTAGTCTAAGGCCATACCACCCTGAACACGCCCGATATTGTCTGAATTCTAATGCTGAGAGACATACACACATAACTTTATGTCAGGTGGTAATAATCACTGTGGAGGGCAATTTAGCAGAGTAAGGGACAAGAGAATAATAGTGGTAGAAAGGGGATGCTATTTTAGATATTTTGCTAAGAGCAAAGGGCTCTTAATCAAGTAAAATTGTAGCAGAGACTCAGATTAAGTGAGGGAATTTACTATATGGCTATCTTAAGAACATTTAAGAGAGAGAGAAGAGCAAGAATAAGGGTCCACAGACAGAACCATGCAGGATGTGGATTAAGGAACAGTCAGGCAGAAAATATGATTAATCCTCTTCATCCATCCCACAGTGTCAAGTATCATAAAAAACTGTTAACACCAATTGGCAAGTAAAAGGTGCATACTTATGACCACAGAAGGGAATGGATACAACATAGCAAATTTTGATGGCAGGGGTTAAGGGATAATGAAAATGACATAAACTATATTAAAAATTATTATGATTATTCCTGATGTTGTCAACCCTGATAGAGCACTTACTGTACACAGACTTTGTTCTAAGCTATATTCATATACGAAGCCATTATTCTCCTATTAATTAGGTACTAGTATTGTCCCCACTAAACAGATAAGAAAAATGAGGTACAGAGGAGTTAAATAATTTGCCTAAGATAATAAAGCTGGAATAAGTCTGTGTCCTAACATTTACCTTCCCTGAGGGATGGGTAGGGTTTCTATGCTGCATTAGGAGTAGCTATATGGATTGTGTGCCCAGAAAAGACCCTGGAAAGCACAAAGACTGGACAGCCTTATGTGTGGGGTCAGGGAGGCAGCAGGAAAAAGAGCAGCCAGAGAGTAATTGGCCTCCTTCACAATTATGCTCACATTATTTTCTTTTTATATTTAATGCTGACCTTCTTACACAGGAAAGTATGTCTTGTAGAAACATAATAACAGAGCTTCCGAAACATTTCACAAAATTCTAAGGAATCAAAAAGATAAATATGCAATATAAAAATAAATATAGAAACCTAAATTGTGAGAATTGTTTGTCTTTTATCAATACTTCTTAATCTCTAGGTGCCCCTACCTGGATGAAAATTTGTGATAAGAAGTATGACTGTCTTTTCATAAAGTATCTTATTTTTAAAATCATAAACATTTCAGTAAATAGATGATGATACTTGCTACTCTTTATCATATTTCCAGCATGAGGGCATCCTAATGGATGGCCCTAATGGTGGGTCCTGCTGGCCTGTCTACCTTCTGCACCTAGTAATATTGGGCACTTAGGTTTGGTTTATTTGGAATGAACTTAAATTGAAATATGGGGGAAATGAAATAATTTCAAAAGCATATTTCAAATCTCATGAATACTCAGTGTAATCTTTCTCCCTCATAAAAATAACTTCATCATATGCCAAGTTTAACTAGGGCCTAAGAAAAACTTACTGTATATGATAATAGCAATAGAAAATATTTTTAAATGTTAGGAAGAATAAAATATTTAATTTAATCCAGTGAGACAGATGATTGAGGAAATAAAATACTAGAAATTAGACTATTAAAGAGCCTAGAGAAATTAGGCTAAAAGGATAGTTTCGAATTTCAACAAAAACTTATATATATAATACAGGTCTACCCATTCTTGGTATCACCTTCATCATGCTATATCTTAAATCCATTACACAGCATATCGGAAAATTCTAACCAAACATAAGTTGTTGAGTTTTTGAAAAAGAATCTTTTATATGAAGCAAATAAATTATTTTTGCAAATTCTGCTGCCATGTGTCAGAGAAAAATCATTAGCTAACTATTTCATTGGTTCACAGTACTTACAACAATATTTAGTAACTTGACCCTAGCAAGCTTTCAGCAATTAATTCATCTTATTGTTACATAAAGAGCTTATGAGAAACAGTGGTGATGGGTAGAATTTATTTGTTTTGCTTGTTTATTTTTGTTAAAAGAGTATTTAATAGAAACTCCACAGGTCAGAGCGTAAGGCAGATATCCTGAACAAAAACAGCATGCATTCAGCAACTTCTTTAAGAAGGAAATATTAAAATAAAGACTTCCAAGCAAGACAGGGTATTTACAGGCGAGACATATGCCGGCTGACTGGCTATGTTTAGAACAGCAGAGGAGCATTTAGATTTGTTTCCTGTAGAACTCTCTGGGACCGATGAGGTGATGTTTACACAAATGTTTGGATGAAGTCACTGGGATATTTTTACTAGATGCCCAGATATGTTACTAATCTCTCTCTATCCCCTCTCTACCCCATTAGGTCAGTAGGACCATAGGATAGACATGGCATTATTGCTATAATCCTAAGGTGCTTTATTTTAAAAGTCCTTCCAGTGACTTTCTTATCTTCTTATATGTCTCCCATAATCACAATAAAGACAGACACCTTATTGTTTTGCTAAATGTGCTCACTAGTCTGCAAAGCAGCAAACTATTATTAAAACACATTTCTCTTTTATTAAAAAGTAATTAAGTTTAAGCTTGCCTTGCAGAAACTGTTCCAGTATTTCTGTCCTTTTCAAATATGCAAACTCTGTCTTTTCTTCCACTTTTTTTCTCCTCTCTGCCTCTCAATCACAATTTATCAAAAAATTTAGCAATTTCCATATTTCTTTCCATTCCTATCTTTAGGATTTATATTCATTGCAAATAACAGAATAATGATTTCTCTTTTATTAAAGTTATACTTCTGTCATGGCCCAAAATTGTTTGTTTCTGTCTAAATAATGACAACATGATTATTTTTCCTATTAAACTCTTCCTACATCATTATTCTGAATATTTATATTTGCTTCTATATTTTATGAATAATATTTAAAATTTTAACTCCTCCTGCCAAGGCTTCACACCTAAATAAATTTGGTATGACTAGAACAAATAGTATATCTTTTCTTAGCAAGCCATAGGCGATTGGTTCCTTGGTGGTATCTAGCTGTGTAGCACACTCTTGATAACATAGTTGGGAAGTTTGGGGGGTAAGGGGCAATTACCACAGCTGTTGCCCTGAGAAGGATAAGAACAAAGGCTTAAGAACAGAGCCAAACTCTGGCCTCACCTCAGCAATATTACCATGGACAAGTGGCTACATCTCAGTTTTCTCATCTGTAAAATGATGGTAATAATAATAATAATACTCACTCATAGAGCTATTAGGAGGATTTAGTCACTTAACTTACCTAGCACAGTAGGTGGCACATAAGAAAGTGCTAAAATTAAATTAGCTAGGATTATAATTAGAAGCTTTTCACTAAAGGATTTGTTCTGTATATTTGGTGTGAGCATCATTGTTATCTATCTCAGTCTCATAGATGAGCTAGGTAATGCACAAACATGCTAAAAAGATTTTACCATGACCTCCAAGAGTCTAGGGAGACCTCTAGCACAGCCTCAGGGAAAGCTAAGCACTCAGGCCCCACGTGGCAGCCTCTGTGATTTTTATAAAATGTCTTTAACATATTGGAAAGAAAGGATTTCATGAGCAAAGATCTGAATTTTAAATATGACACAAGTCAACTACAAAATCCATGCATCCCTCAGGAAGGAAGTCAGTGTCTGCAGCATTTCTCCACTCCTCCTTCATGAGCCTCTCTTCTTTGGGTTTCCATGACAATGTTCTCTTGTGTCTTTCCTCTTCCCCTTCCAGCTTCTCCTCTCCACATCTTCCTGTGTTAGTCCCTCATATTCATGCATACCAAATAACATGTATTTTTCAGGAAAATGAACAAAAATATATTTATTAAATTAATTAGAATGGTTGCCTGGCTGAGGAAGGGAGAAACTCGAGCAAGAAAGGAATATGGGGACGAAAGGACTAAACAAACAAACAAAATAAAGGAGAAGCTCTGCATAGGCCAATGCTGATAATGTACCCTAACAGAGACTCCATAATTAACTCTATCCTGCACTTGAGATCCAAATTGGTGTAAGGCAGGGAAGAGATGAACAGTGCTCATAAAAATATAACCTTAGCATGTCGATTCTCCTCTTACTGTCTTGGAATATAAATCAGGGGCCAGAGCACTATCTTTTTTTTTTTTATTTTGTACACAATACAAAGTAATTTTCAAGAAGGAACACATTTAATTATGATAATTATGGTGCCAAGATGCACATAATTTTTCTTAGTTACCCTAAAGTACTTCTGTGCACATTCCATTTTAACTTTGTTCAGTTCACACTGGTGAGGAAACTAGAAAATTTTAAAGAATCAAACTTACCTTCAAAGCCTTCATTTATGACTCCACTTGCTTCATCTCTATGGTGAGAAATACTATTTAGGGAAAAATTTCTGAATAAGTGAAGCTGCTCTTGAATTTTATGGAAAGTAGGCCTTTGTTCAGGTTCTTGAGCCCAGCATTGGGTCATTAAATTCCATCTGGATATGTGAATAAAGATGGGAAAGTAAATGATGATTGGTTGTCACTATTGTTAACCCAAGTAAGGTCATTTTAGATATGAACAACTTCAATTTATTCCAGTTTTTCATGATTAATATAAATAAACAGAGCAAAATCATTGATGTATTATTTAAGAGTGATTTACAACATTACTACCTTTAATAGACAACACTTTTCTTTTGAAAAGCTGACATTATCTCAACAATTATTAATTCAAATAAATAAATGGATAAATGGATGGTTGGAAAGGCTACTCAATGAAGCAAGGGACTAAGAGCTATAAAAATTACTGAAGAAGCCTGGAAGGATATGCCAGACACTCTCTGTCTGGAATCTCCTTTCCTAATAATTCTGGGTCTCTACATGTTAATGTGGGTGTCCCCTGCTCAATGATCTTCTTGTCATCCTCCTGAACTAAAAGTCAGAGGGGCAGTTTGTCCATGCCCTCGATGTGGCCTATCTAATCTAATGAATCTTGCAAAGAGATCTCAGGACCTAGACATCCAAAACCTTCAACTTTCTACTCCTATCTATGAATTTCTCCTCTTCCTATGCTTCCCAGGAGCTTAAAGGGACTAAGTTTATACTCATTCCTCTTTTTATTAGACTCTCCTGTGATAGTCACTTGAACCTGGTACATCAAATAATAACAGGAACTAAAAGACTCTAGATAACCCTCTCTCTCATCCAAGCTTGGTTTTTAAGTCTACCAACTTATGAAAATGCTCAAGCATCTTGTCTCTTGTTTTGATTTTCTGGAGCTATGAAGTAGATTGGGGTCAAAGAAAGGAACTAATAAGGAAACATAAACTGGGAAGTATTTTGAAATATAAGTACTACCATATAAAAAGAAAAATATATAATTCAAATTGTGTTGAATTCTTTTAAAAGTATGAAAGGAAATAAGCATGAGTTTTAATAGACATGGAACATTTTTGGTAAGTTGCTCACTGCAGGCCCTTCTGTAGAGATGACATTTAAGCCCACAAACTCTGTAGGAAAATAAGATGCTAGTCATAGGAATAGGGTGTGGATGGGAGTCAGGGAGCACACCAGAAGAGGGAAAAGCATGTGTAAAGTCCTAAATTTGGAAAGAGCTTGGCACAGTCAGAATCTGAAAGAAAGCCAGTGTGGCTGAAGTGTGGTCATTCAGGAGAGAGAATGAGATGAGATCAGAAGAGAAAGGCAGGTCTCACTGACCAGCAAGGTGTGGGATTTTATGACACTATAATGATGAGTTGTTGAAGGTATTAACGCAGGCACACTCTTCACATTTTTAAAGGATTTTTCTAACTGATAAATGGATATGGATTAGAAAGGGGCCAAATGGAAGGTATTAAAGACTAGGTGAGAGATAGTGGTGGTTTGGACTAAGGTAACGGTAAGGGATCTAGAATAAGGTTATGTTCAATCACTAGGTGACAATGACTCAGGAATCATTGTAGGTATTGTATTTAAAATAGCTAGCATGTAATTTAGGAGCTATAATTCAACCTCCAATGTGTTATAATGTATCATACAAACTTCACTTCTGTTTATTTCATTTCTTGACAAGCATCTCAGGTCAGAGTTAATACAAAATAACAGGGTATTATGAGGAAACCTAACTTTGGATGTTTTTGGGGGGTGGTATTGGGATTTGAACTCAGGGCCTTGCACTTGCTAGGCAGGCACTCTACCACTTGAGTTATGCTCCCAGCCCTTTTTTTTGCTTCAGTTATTTTTAAGATAGTATGTCGTACTCTTTTACTGGGACTGGGCTGGGACCACAGTCCTCCTACCTGTGCCTTCTGTGTAGCTGGGACCACAGCCACATGCCACCACTCTCAGCTTGCTGGTTGAGATGGGGGTTCTAGCTAATTTTTTCCCGGGCTAGCCTAGCTCCACAATGCTCCTGATCTCTGCCTTCCGAGTAGCTGGGATTACAGATGTGAGCTACTGCTCCCAACTCCCTAGTTGTTTTCTGTGTATTGATCTGATTCCTTCTCATATGATTATAGAATGCCAAACTTGGCTTTATTTTTTAAAAAATTAGAATAATAGCTAGGAAAGAACTAAAAGACAACCTAATCTATTATGTATATTTTTTTATAATCCATGCCATGAAGAAACAAGAATAAAACACAGATCTCAATGTAGGATCATTAGACTTTGAGGTAAGATTATAACTGATATCAGATGGAATTTAAAACAATAATTAAAATCCAATCTTTATGACTAATCTAGAGTTCAAAGGAGGAAGTGATGTATTACAATTCTTCCCAGGAAGAATTTCTGAAAATAATGTTATGATTCAAAATATTGCTCAAGTACCAGTAAAATCAGTCAAGACATCACATTTCAATTGTGAAGATATAACTTTTTTATTTATAATTTGACTATTCTTCAAAAGATTCAATTAGAAATTATTTAGGAGGAGAGAAAGAAAAAGGAAGAAGAAAGAAGGAAGAAGGAAGCAGAGGAGGGGAGTGACGGGAGAAAGAGAAACCATCTTCAAGGCTGACACCACCTAACCCTTGCCCACCCACATACTCTACCCTCCAAAAGTTCAGCCTCTTATTTAATCTATGCAATTCATTTGAACAGATATTCTTAATTTTTTTCATCTGTGGATGTTTTAATTTACATTGAATCCAGTCATTACTCTTTACTTAACTTTCTAGATGGCAAAAACATATGATCTATTAGTTTATGAAAACTTTCTGTTAAACCATCAAGAGAAAATAAAGACTAAGGAAAGAGGAGCTATAGAAAGCAAACAGCATTTAACAGTAAAAAACACATCTTGTGTTCTTAAATGCTAATAAACTGCAATGGAATAAAAAGAGGCTTTTAAGAATTTAATAATCCTGCCAGATAATAGTGGTTCATGCCTATAATTCTAGCTACTTGGGAGGTGGAGATCAGGATTGTGGTTGAAAGGCCATCCCAGGCAAATAGTTTGTGAATTCTCACCACTTAAATAACCAAAGCAAAATGGACTAAAGGTGTGGTTCAAGTGATAGGGAGCCTGCTTTGCAAGTGCAAAGCCCTGAGTTTGTAAAAAATTACTTATGTCTTTCAAGTAAATTAACTGTATCTGTGAATAAGGGGGTCTTTCCTTACAAATATTTACTTTTCATTGTTTAATATCAACTTGCACAAAGTTACAGTTACAAATGATCAATTACTACTGAAAATAAATTTACTGGCCCTTAAGTTTGTTAAAATGTATCTATGTTGCCAGTTCTAGAAAGCTACTCATACTTTAGGTATCACATTTGGCTAAGCATTCAGCTTCAAATTCCTCCACTTACTATAAAAATCTTTTGGTCCTCTTTACCTCAATTGTTGTTTTTCAAAATAACATGGGACTCATTATCTGTGTTCAGTATTAGTCTCCAGGTATATTAAAGTCCTTGGAGTCATAAAGCCATTGAAATTCAACTGATAAAAACGCTACAGCATGTTTCACTAGATATATTTAAACAAACCACATCAAGTACAGATTTCAAGAACTCCCCACTGATATACTCAATCCCAGAGGGATCCGCTTAGAATCTACATGTATATATTTTTAAGGGTAAAAATAAGAAGTTGAGCTTCTGTGGTCCCCCACTGTTGTCTCCTACATTGGAGGGACTCCAGTAATTCCAGTTGCCATCATGACACATCCATTATAGGAGCCCAAAGACCTCTCACTTGGAGAAGATTGCCCTCTGATTCCATTTCTCCTCCTCAGGAGTGCTGTAGTTGTTGAGCAAACTAAAAGCTGGACAGAACACTGGTAGCTGGGCTTTCCCCTGTACCTCACAGCCTATGAAGAAAAGGGCAGGAAAGCTCTGAACCTCACATTCCAGTGATGACTGGGAACAGCCCAGTTATCTAGGGGCTCACCTGACCTAAAGTGCACCCAGGTGCTGAGTATTTAATCAGTGAATAGAAGGTGCAGCATGGCTCAGTGCAGACTTTCAACCTTCTAAGCCAGGCCTGTGATCTTAGAGAACCGCTTCAAATAAAAATTGTTCCCTCTGTACTCTAAGGAGAGTAGTTAATCTTTATCATGACAACTTAAGGCTGAGGCCAGATTGAATGGCATTGCTGAGAGCTCCACTTCCTAGCATGGCTTGTTTTCTTGGTTGGCAGTGAATCTTAACCCTTCCCAGAGCTCTGCCGAGTCATGCATCCTGTGGAGGGCTGGCAGCATTGCTGTTTTTATTAATGATGCTCAAAATCACCAATGGAAATTTTTGGTTTCAAGGAAACTGTATTTTTATTTAAAAAATAAGTCAATAATGTATTCAACAGATGAATATTCAAGATAAAGTTAGAAAGAATATTATCCTTTTCCACTCCTAATCAGGTATAGTTTTCTAGCACTTTTCTAGCACTCCTTCCTTCTCTTTCTAGTTGCATTTTTAGATACATTTGAATAGAGCAAAATTCAACACACCTACATTTTTCTGCTCCACTGTAGAGTAATTTATTATTCATCTCCATCCTCCCCAAACAAAATCATTGAACACACCTGCCAAAATGTATAATTCAGTAATGTATTCCAAAGATGCCTTTCCAAAAATATTGTATGACAATGATGAAGTACATTATTCACCCCCACATGGGGGAACCAACATGCTAGATAAAATCTTAAGAGAATAAGGAAACTTTTGTGCAATTGAAATGCTGGAGAAATTTTCTGAGTGCTTAAGAGATATGTAAGGAAAGCAAAATAATGATTGGTTCACCAACTACTTACTTAAAAATTATTTTATATTTACTTTGCTGAGGTTTTGTTCCTCAAGCCCTACATGAAAGGTTTTCAACTTTTCTACAGTTTCTTATTTCAAATTTATAGATTTTTCTCTATCTTCCCCCCCACCTCAAAGACTCATAAATCATTTTTAGGCAGTATTACCAAGCTTGATCAAGTGTGTATATATTTGATCTCCCTGAAAATATCACAGAGAATATAAAAGCTAAATCAGTAATTCATATGTTCTTCTAGCTGGAAGATTTAAATATTACAGAAACATTCACCAAGGTGCCCAGCTTTTAATCATCTTTTGGCTCAAGTCTGAATATTCCTCTAAATAACACCTTGTAGTCAAGGCAGCACAACCACGGTGTGCATCTGCATACTGTTAATTCCTTTTGCACTTGTCTGTACTGCACAGTTTAGCACTTTATTACATGCTGGCTGGCCACCCAACTGCTCTGTGTGTGACTTTTCATTCAAAATACATTCCAAGATGCTGAAGAGCTGTGGCTCTTGTATAACAATGTCTGTAACCTCCACAATCATTGGCATGGCATTGTATGTATAATAGAATTTATATTTGTTGATTATTTGTTCTTTTAGAAACCTCTTGGGGTAAAACAACTCTTGGGAAAAGTTTCAAGGCTTGATATTTCTGCTGAGGTTGTCCACGTTATATGAATTAGTATTCAACATAATAACCTGGTAATTTTTTTTTCTTTTATACCGAGAGCAAAAGCACTCACTTTTCTGGGGATCACTATTAAAATTCAATAATGGCCAGTAGTGGGCTAGCAGAGTGGCTCTAGTGGGAGAACGCCTAAGTAGCAAGCATGAAACCCTCTAGTACCACTAAAAAAAAAAAAAAAAATCACTCATCATTAATGGCCAGTAGCAATTTGATAGAGAGAGAGTCACTAATACTTAGTAATTTAATGTTAAGTTCATAAACAGATCAATATACACAATTTTCAGTAGTAGTATATCCCATCAATCAATATCAGCTATATCACTACAGGCAATCTAACTTTTAAACAATACATTCCTGGGCTGGCAGAGTGGCTCAAGTGGTACACAGCCTGCCTAACAATCATGAGACCCTGAGTTCAAACCACAGTACCACCAAAAAAAAAAAACAGGAAAAAATCTATTCCTATTTAGTAGAATATTTTAATATGCAGATTAAGATATTATCCAAATCAAATCTCCCAAAATAAAATTAATACACTAGCACACACAGCTTATATTTATTTGTTTAATTACTAATAAATATATTCTATTCTTTAAAATCTTGTTTCTGAGTGAAATATCATGTGCATATATAAGTAAAAATAATCCATGATGTGTTTAGCAAATTAAGTACCACGATCAATTTATATTTTGTGTGGTATTTACAAACATACAAATCTCAGTTTTTCTTTTAAGAGTACACACCAATGAGACCTAAGATTGCATGTGCACATTTTTGCTTTTATTTTGGGGTGATTATGTTAATATCATTAACTTACAGATCATCAGGACAATTTCTTGGTGGCTCCAATCTCCCTCCTGTTTGTACATAATCTAAAACATCAAGGTTGGAATATGCTGGATAAGGCTGATGACCAAGAGTTAGAATCTCCCAAATCAGAATTCCAAAAGACCTGAGATATTAAAGGGTTTGCTTTAATTTTACTGATTGCAAATATCATATTTACAGTAGCCTCTCCAACATCATTATTCCTGGAACTCTGGGTTCTACTTTGAGATTGGCATTATTGGCCTTATAATTAGATTGACATTAGAAAAAGTAGAATAAGACACTGAAGATGAGCCACATTTTAAAGATGATGAAAGGGCTTTGTGTGATGGGGGCATGCACTCAGACAAGGATCCAGTCACACACAGAGACACAAACACACAGATACACATGCACATGCAAATGTACATGCTCCCGCACTCATACATGGGCACATGCAGGGGCACACGCACATCCATACACACACACACACACACACACACACACACACACACACATTCTGTTCCTTCCCCTAGTTGAAACCCCACTGAAGTTCTCCATTACCTAAGAATTTCACACCATCTACATGCAGACACATGAAGGTGAGACAAGAGACCATTTCATCATTTCCCCCAAGTTTAAGGTGGTAGAATGGCAATAAATATAGAGACCAAAGTCACTAGTAAAATGACAGCACTGTGGACCAATTTTTTTCTCATCCACAATTTTGCCTATGGCCAACTCAGCTTAAAACTGAACAAATTTTTACATTTTAAGCAGCTCCAATCAAAAGTTGGGCATCAACAAACAAAAATGAAGGTTTATTCAAATAATAAAGAGATGTCCAAACCTCCCAAATGGTATATTCTTTTTGTGATCCATGACTTAAAGTCTTCTTATAAATTAACAAACATCCCAAAACAGTAGGCATTTGTTTAATCGTGGGTTTATAGGGCTTTGGAGTATAACAAAAAACTTGAAGTAAATGTATCATTTCATAAAAGTGATTGGGAATGGGATACAAATGGCTGAAACTCAGGAAAGTTCCCCCTTGACCATCAGCTTGAGGCAAACCATTTAACTTCTTTGGTCTTCTGTTCTCTTATATTAAGAAAATTAGATATCCTTTTAAAATCCTTTTATGTCTGACATTTGACAGTTCTGCCTACATTTCTTTGTGTCCCTTTCAGCTCACCATACATCAGATTGAGTAGTGAAGATTCCATCCATCAAGCTTTCTGGAGCCATCCACCGAACAGGGAGCAGGCCTTCCCCTCTCTTTCTATAATAATCATTTTTATAGATGTCCCTTGCAAGTCCAAAGTCCCCAATCTTCACTATCCGTGAAGGACTGGTATAGTCTTTCACAGAGACAAGACAATTCCGAGCTGCTAGATCCCTATGCAGAAGTTATATTTAATAATAACAAAGTTTCAGAGATTAGACAAGCAACATTAGTAGATGTATAAAGAAGAGAGACTTTTAAATATCTTGCATGATATACCCAAAGTACAAGTGATTATTAAGCCAATACTAGTAATAACCTTGCATCCAATATCATTGTACCTATGAATGAAGTGCATCTGTTCCAAGTATACACAGCCTTTTGAGATATCTACACACAGGTCTACAAGGTCAACCAAAGTGAGTAAAGGACCATGCAACTGTAAGAAATGAAAGGAAAATTAAAACCATTTTTCTAATTTGCACAAAATATGTATATATAGATGTGAATATATATATAGTACATATACTCACAAGCATGTACACATTTGTATATGATGTGCTAAAGGTATTTTTACTTATGGTTACAAGAATTCAAAAAAAGGAATAGCCATTTTATATTTTCTATCCAAATATACATAAATGGTACATTATATTTATAGTAAGCAGAGATGATACAGAATTTTTATTGGAAAGATCTCAGGGTACGAGGTCACACAGACCAATATTTGAAAACTAGTTCAGGTATTTATTAGTTTTGTGAACTTGCTCAATTTGTTTAATTAATTAAGCAACTTTCTCATTTGTAAAATGGACATAATAATACTGATTTTGTAAGATTCAAAATAAGATATATAATATTGCTGATTCATAACAGGGACTTAAAAAATAGGCTGCTCTCTTAAGTAGTAATAACAGTCATTTAATCAATGTTAACTAATTTAATTATTGGCCAGTGGCTCTCTATCATGTCAGTTAGGACAATGGACTTGTTCCTCATATGAGTTCCATATAATTGCCTGCAATACTCTGTTTTTCAGATCACAGACTACTCCTCTCATCTAAAACAGACAGCACAAATACACACTCAAGCCTGTGCTCGTTGCAATGATTTCTAGATGAAAAAAAAGTCAAAATTTTATTAGTAGCATAGGGAAAAATACAAAATTCCTACCTATAGGCCAAAGTCATACATTTCTGTGTTCCATTTCCCTGCAATTACCTTAGTTCAGGCCTTTATCATCCCTAATTTGATACATCCAAAAACTTTCCATGTTTCCCAGCCTCCTATTCTTTATTAGCTCCCCCATGCCCTGCTTCTTGTAGAGTCCTTTGGAAATTACCGACCACAGCCCCAAGGCAGCTACTATAATGGGGTGAGTTCCTTGCTAGCAAGAGCCATATCGTTCACTGTCATATAATAGCCACTTAACAAAAATTTGACAAATTCAATTATATCTGGAAAGCAATATATTTACTACTGCATATTTGTATAATTTTCATAGTTTTTTTTAAACTTTTTTCTATTTGATACAACCTTAGAACATCAAAATTGAGAAGAATCTTAGAAAGCTTTAGATTCAATATCCAGTTTATGAAATACTCCCAAAAGTGAAGGACTAGTGGATGTGTTCTGGATCTGGTTGCAATCAATCTTATGCCTTCAACCAACCAAACAGTCTGAAAGCAGGGACAGAGAGGTTGCCCATGCTGCTGCTTCTAGGACAGAGCATCAGGTCACTTTCTGTGTAGAGATGGCTGGTGTCAAGTGAATTAGCATGAGGGGAACACAATATCTGTGCTGTTCCCCTGTGGGTGCTCGGCACCTAATAGCATCCTGTCCTCTATGGTAAGAGTAAGTAAGATGAATCCCTGGAAGCTGTTGTGGCAAGTCAGCAGAACAGTCAGCGGATGCACTGAAGTGCAGACATTATAGTCAGTTAAGATCTTGGATAAACAGGAATAATTTGGGGGAATAAAAAGAAAAAAAGAAAAGAAAGAAGAGCCAGGTACCTGTGGCTCACCTCTGTAATCCTAGCTACTCAGGAGGCAGAGATCAGGAGGATCACAGTTTAAAACCAGCTTGGGCAAGTAGTTCTCAAGACCCTATCTCGAAAAACTCTCCAGAAAAATAGTGCTGGTGGAGTGACTTAAGGTGACAACCCTGAGTTCAAGCCCCAGTACCTCCAAAAAAAAAGTAGAACCATATTTTCTATCAGTCTGTCTTCAACCTCTTCCCTTATCCACTAAGAAAAAAATAAAACAAAATCTACAGATAAACTTTCTTGTTAAAGATGGGGCCAGAATGTGTGCATTTTTTTCCACTCTCTCCTTATTAAAACAATGGTATAGGGTGAAAGTTTGCAAACATTCACAGACAAGTGGATTGGGACAACAGATTAAACAGACAGAACATTTTGGAAGAGGGAAAGCAGGTGAAGGAATGGTCATTTGGCAGAGCCAAGAGCAGGGGACAGGTGACTGCTGGCAAAGGGAGAAGAGAATTGAGCTGTTTGTGGTGATAAAACCCAACAAAAGCTCCAGAGTGGGAAGTGGCAGATATTTCTGAATGCAGGGTAAGGGTCAGGACTGAAAGCAAGAGGAATATTTAGGTTATTTCAGAGCTAACTAGTTCTTACATTCCCCACCACAACAAGAGGCTTTTCTCTGCAGAATAAACAAATACCAACAGAAAACTAAACCTGAACAACTCAGAGTATAAAGACACCACCAATCCTATTAAGGCACTGCACTGATAATGAGGAGAGAATTAAATGAGAGCTCACACTGAGCTTTCAGATCTTAGAGCCCATCTTAATTCCTGTCTGGTGAAACTGACCTGCCAAGGAAGAGATTCAGACACTGGCATTAGGAGACACCCAAGGGAACAGAAGGGTCCCATCCACCCAACATCCAGAAGGAAGCTTCCTCAAACATGTAGATCCCAATCAACTTCTTAGGCCCCAAATTAAATATAAACAACAGCCAATAATCACCAAAAAAGTTCTGGGGATGTAGTGCAGTGGTAGAGCTCCTGCCTTGCATGAACAAGGCTCTGGGTTCAATCCTTAGCATTTCATGAAAAAAGATAATTGGCAAACATTTGAGAAAATCTTCTCACATTGAAAACAGACTCCAATTCCTAGCCGGAGCAATTAGGCAAGAAGAAGGAATAAAAAGAATACAAACAGGTAAAGAAACTGTGAAAATATCACTATTTGCAGACAACATGATCCTATACCTTAAAGACCCAAAAAACTCTACTCAGAAGCTTCTAGACATCATCAATAGCTACAGAAAGGTAGCAGGATATAAAATCAACATAGAAAAATCATTAGCATTTCTATACACTAATAATGAGCAAACTGAAAAAGAATACATGAAAATAATTCCATTTACAATAGCCTCAAAAAAAATCAAATACCTAGGTGTAAACCTAACAAAAGATGTGAAAGACCTCTACAAGGAAAACTATACTCTTCTGAAGAAAGAGATTGAGGAAGACTATAGAAAGTGGAGAGATCTCCCATGCTCATGGATTGGTAGAATCAACATAGTAAAAATGTCTATACTCCTTAAAGTAATCTACATGTTTAATGCAATTCCCATCAAAATTCCAAAGACATTCATTAAAGAGATCGAAAAATCTACCGTGAAATTTATATGGAAACACAGGAAGCCACGAATAGCCAAGGCAATACTCAGTCAAAAGAACAATGCAGGAGGTATCACAATACCTGACTTCAAACTATATTACAAAGCAGTAGCAATAAAAACAGCATGGTACTGGCACAAAAACAGACAAGAAGACCAGTGGAACAGAACAGAGGACCCAGATATGAAGCCACACAACTATAACTAACTTGTCTTTGACAAAGGAGCTAAAAATATACGATGGAGAAATAGCAGCCTCTTCAACAAAAACTGCTGGGAAAACTGGTTAGCCGTCTGCAAAAAACTGAAACTAGATCCATGTATATCACCCTATACCAAGATTAACTCAAAATGGATCAAGGATCTTAATATCAGACCACAAACTCTTAAGTTGATACAGGAAAGAGTAGGAACTACTCTGGAATTAGTAGGTATAGGTAAGAACTTTCTCAACGAAACCCCAGCAGCACAGCAACTAAGAGACAGCATAGATAAATGGGACCTCATAAAACTAAAAAGCTTCTGTTCATCAAAAGAAATGGTCTCATTAGATCAAGGGCAAACACAACAAGGGGATTGGACTATGAGCACATGATAAAAGCGAGAGCACACAAGGGAGGGGTGAGGATAGGTAAGACACCTAAAAAACTAGCTAGCATTTGTTGCCCTTAATGCAGAGAAACTAAAGCAGATACCTTAAAGCAACTGAGGCCAATAGGAAAAGGGGACCAGGAACTAGAGAAAAGGTTAGATTAAAAAGAATTAACCTAGAAGGTAACACCCACGCACAGGAAATCAATGTGAGTCAATGCCCTGTATAGGTATCCTTATCTCAACCAGCAAAACCCCTTGTTCCTTCCTATTATTGCTTATACTCTCTCTACAACAAAATTAGAGATAAGGGCAAAATAGTTTCTGCTGGGTATTGAGGGGGGGAGCGGGAGGGGGTGGAGTGGGTGGTAAGGGAGGGGGTGGGGGCAGGGGGGAGAAATAAACCAAGCCTTGTATGCACATATGAATAATAAAAGAAAAATGAAAAAAAAAAAAAAGAACCTATAAAAAAAAAAAAGAAATGGTCTCTAAACTGAAGAGAACACCCACAGAGTGGGAGAAATTATTTGCCAGCTATACATCAGACAAAGGACTGATAACCAGAATATATAGGGAACTTAAAAAACTAAATTCTCCCAAAACTAATGAACCAATAAAGAAATGGGCATGAGAACTAAACAGAACTTTCTCAAAAGAAGAAATTCAAATGGCCAAAAAACACATGAAAAAATGCTCACCATCTCTAGCAATAAAGGAAATGCAAATTAAAACCACACTAAGATTCCACCTCACCCCTGGTAGAATAGCCATCATCAGCAACACCACCACCAACAGGTGTTGGCGAGGATGCAGGGAAAAAGGAACCCTCTTACACTGTTGGTGGGAATGTAAACTAGTACAACCACTCTGGAAAAAAATTTGGAGGCTACTTAAAAAGCTAGACATTGATCTACCAATACCACTCTTGGTGGTCACAAAAGACTGTGACACAGGTTACTCCAGAGGCACCTGCACACCCATGTTTATTGCGGCACTATTCACAATAGCCAAGTTATGGAAACAACCAAGATGCCCCACCACTGACAAATGGATTAAGAAAATGTGGTATCTATACACAACGGAATTTTATGCAGCCATGAAGAAGAACGAAATGTTATCATTTGCTGGTAAATGGATGGAATTGGAGAACATCATTCTGAGTGAGGTTAGCCTGGCCCAAAAGACCAAAAATCGTATGTTCTCCCTCATAGGTGGACATTAGATCAAGGGCAAACACAACAAGGGGATTGGACTTTGAGCACATGATAAAAGCGAGAGCACACAAGGGAGGGGTGAGGATAGGTAAGACACCTAAAAAATTAGCTAGCAGTTGTTGCCCTTAACACAGAGAAACTGAAGCAGATGCCTTAAAAGCAACTGAGGCCAATAGGAAAAGGGGACCAGGAACTAGAGAAAAGGTTGAATCAAAAAGAATTAACCTAGAAGGTAACACACACGCACAGGAAATCAATGTGAGTCAATGCCCTGTATAGCTATCCTTATCTCAACCAGCAAAACCCCTTGTTCCTTCCTATTATTGCTTATACTCTCTCTACAACAAAATTAGAAATAAGGGCAAAATAGTTTCTGCTGGGTATTGAGGGGGTGGAGGGGAGAGGGAGGGGGCGGAGTGGGTGGTAAGGGAGGGGGTGGGGGCAGGGGGGAGAAATGACCCAAGCCTTGTATGCACATATGAATAATAAAAGAGAAAAAAGAAAGAAAAGAAAACAGACTCCAAAATGGTGATGGGAAAAAAAAAGTCAAGGAAGTAAATTAATACTTTAAAAAAACATTATTAACATCCAAAGAAAAATAAGACAAAAATTATATCTATGAAAAAACAGAATACTTTTTAAAATGCAAAGTATAATAATATGTTTATGAAAACTGAAGTATGATAACCTAAATCTACAAAAAAGATTAGGGAATAGAATTGAGAAAAATGTATCAGAACAGAGAGAAAAAGAGCTGAAAATAAGAGAAAACAGCTAATAAATAGTAAGAGGTGTTAAAACAAAGTGGTTCATTATTCAACTAATAGGATTTCTATAATTAAAAAAGGGAACAAAGTTATCTGTGGTCAAAGAAATAATTTAAAAATCCCAAAACTAAAGATTTTCTAGACTGTGTATCTAGTCTAGAGAGGCAAAGAGTACCATAGATGAAATTTTCCCAAAATTTTCCAAAAGGCAGAAGCAAAAAGCAGGACACTGATAATAAATTCAGGAATCAGAAGGGTATAAGACTTCCCAATGACAATTGTAGATATTAGAAAACCAAGACATACTTGTTTTACTTTTTGAGGAGGAGGGTTTTCAAATTATCAATCAAGTGTGGGGGAAGAATGAAAGACATTTTCTCCCAAAGAAAAAGAATGAAAAAGCAAATCTTTGCCTCACACACAAGATTTCTCATTCTTTCTCTTTCCTAAAACATAAAAAAGTAGTCATAAGACAGAGGGTAAAAGGGTCGAGCATGGACCTGAGTTGAGAGATGACCAGGATAAATGTGAAGGAAATCCCAAGGATAACAAATGTGTAGCTAGCCTGGAGCAAGCAGCTGTACTGGCTCCAGGAACGCAGTGTCCAAGGAAAAACTGTGAAGTGCTGGATTATCTGATGGATTTAACATATTGAGAAAAGTGATACAATTCTATCAGAGAGCTTGAGTAGTTTGAAAACAAAGAGGATGAACAACAAAAACAAGAGGTACTTATTAAACTAGCCCAAGGGGGGATAAAAACACCACAATCATAGCATTTGGGTAACTCAGGATGCATATAATAAATAGTTATAATAATGTAATATTATTACATTACATCAATAGTGAAATACTGATTTGCTAGAAAAATATGATACCTGTTGGAGAATGAGAGAAGCAAGGTTTTCGATATGTAACATTGGTGGAGTTGGGCAGGTATATGAGGAAGTCTGAGTTTAAGTCTCATCTTGCATAGTAGGAAGTGAATAGATTCCTCTCCAAAATGACAATTCAGTGTGTATCAGTGTAAGCAAAGTATTTACATGGACTGAATGCCTGAAGATATGCACAACCCTGGGATGTGGGGATGCACTACAGTTCATGGTTCTGTTTTTCACCTTACACACCTTATTATATAATTTTTAGTCATATAGCACTGAATTTGGTAGGAAAACCCCCAAATGTTTAAGTTTACAGACTTGAAGTCTAATGATTTGTCTCGTCTTCTCATCTGAGGTATAAGGTAGTTATCTGCAGGTGGTCACCTCCTAGCCCAGTCCAGTTTTACACAGTATTTCCGGGTCCATAGTGGGCTGGATACTTGGAATAGGAAGATAGATGAACTGAGGCCACAATATGAAGGCTAACTGCAGAGCTGGCAGGGCCTGTGAATATGGATGTAGGGGAAAAGAAAGCAGAGACCTGGGTGGATGGATGTTTGAACTCAAATGTTTTGCTTTGGCCAAAGTAAGTTTGACATGCCTACTAAAATCCAAATAGATCTGTCACCTAAAAAGATAAATTAACCTAGCTAGATCTAGGGCAATAGATCTGACCCATAAGTCTAGAATTTAGTAGACTTCAAGACTGAAAATAAAATTTGGGACAGACAGACATTTAGATGAAGTACAGAAATGTGCCTTTCTCATTCCACACAATCCCTATGCTCCAGAAAAAAAAAAAAAACATGGTTCTGGACAGAAGGGACCTATTTCCTCGTTAACTACTAAAAATATGGATTGATGGAATGGCTCAAGTGGTACAGCACCTGCCTAGAGCAAGCACATGGCCCTGAGTTCAAACCCTAATACCACCAAAAAAACAAAAAACAGACTCAAATCTTAGCCATCAGTTCAATTTGCCCTAATTTAATATGAAGGAACTAATAAGATTTCTTTCCATGGAAACTTTCTAAGGTTCTCCTGACAGCCAAAGCTTCAGTATATTGAACTTAAAGAAAATTATAGGACATTTGCAGTAGGAAATAATGCTGTGGGCCCCAGCGCCTACCTTTGTCTTCCGGGCTTTACGCAGGTAGGTGAGAAGGTCTCCTCCCTCCATCAGTTCCAGGATAATGTACTGGGGTTCACTCAGCAGACAAACTCCAAGCTGCTTCAGAATGTTGGGATGATTAAACTTGCTAAAAGTTGGAAAGACACAAGCTAGATGACATGACAGTGACAGGAGTCTCAGCTGAGGGTCTTTGCAGAGCAGAACAATTCTTTATCCATAGTTTCCTTCAAAACCCCTGACTTCACTTTCTCTAGTAAGTGAAAGCTTTCTTTTCCAAACACAGATCTTTGAGCTTGCCTTAAGGAGGTAAGATGGCAGCCCCTAGTGGCCAATATAAATGGACAAAACAGGTTGGGTTTTAGAACAAATAAACTTTCTATTAATGGGATTTTACGTGTTGAAAAATAAAGCAATTTTGACGAGTAGTTCTCTTCAGAAGATATTTGAAAACATGTTTTTGGTCATCACAAGTGTGAAATACATTTTTTCAGTTTTAGGAAGACAACTCCAACCTGCTGGTTTGGGCGACAATGGTTTCTTAAGACATTAATGTGAATAAGCCCCAGCAGTATTGGAGCCGATAGCTTGGCATCCCCTGAACCACTGCCTCAAGTCTCCTTAAGTCATCCTGGGAAGTTTTCACAACCATAACTGACAGAAATCATGCAGAAAAGTTTCCTAGACAAGAGACATTCTCACTGATATCATAAAATATAAGGAGAACTTTCCTTTTCTAGTCTACTTGACCCATTATCACACATAGAGGAACACAAGTATTTTTAAAGCTGAACAGCTTTAGAGTGCACTTGCAAAACACATTCCTAATGAAGATTGGGAAAAAAGAGGAGAACATTTTTTCTTGAGGACTGCCTATACCCACGCCATAAGACTGGCCTCTGTAGAATACTTACGAAGACTTGCTTTACACTTTTCAGCCATGTTCGCTTTGAGCAAGATCTGGTATATCAGGTCATTTGGGATATTAAAAAATCCAGCGCAAATTGTAAAACCTTCCTACCCACATCAGTAAAAGAAAGTTATTTCTGAGCTACCCTGATACCTCATCAGATGTGCTTCCTTCAAGAATTCAGTCTTCTCCTGGTCTGTAGAGCCCTTCTTCAAAGTCTGCGCAACACAAAAACAAGTGAGGAATCATCTTGGTAGACATATCTGGGTTAATAGAGATGGTCTTTTGTTTTGTTTTGGTTTGGTTTGCAATATCCACCCTAAAATACATCATTGATATACCATGTACAAGTGGTCTGTAAACCTCCTGTTATTGCTAGTGTTCAAGTAGGAAAATCTGCTAGATAAGAGATCCAGTAATATTTATGTAAGGTCCCTCCAAAATATAGCAATTTTAAAGAGACTAATTTTGGAATTTAACAGGTCAGTTTCTAACTTTTCAAAAATCTCTACTAAATATTTACTTTCCTGACTTACTTGCAAAGTAGAATATTCTAATTCGATTCTTGGAGGCAAGGTTGCCCAGCACTAGGTAACTGATTTAAGTTAATTGTCAAAATCTGTTCTGAAATTCTCCAAATCCCTTAAAAATAAGGGTGGCTTTATGTCTCAGTTCTAGCCAATGAGATGTAAGAGAAAAATTGCTGAGAGAGAAAGGTTTATGAGAAACTTGCTTTTTTCTGGAAGAATATTTCAATAGCCTTTGCACATTTGATATAACACTAAAAACAACAAATGTTCATTTCGGAAAAATTGGTTGCACTGTGATATGTGAAACCATATCAATGAACTTTTCATTCTCTCATGAGCATACACATCTAGCACCATTCTATTCCCTTTCCTTGATCTGTCTCTTTGCAGTCATCTTGGGACTATGAGGAAACAAGCATGAATAAATGTCAAAAGAAATTCAGAGGTACTAGCTCTGACCTGACATACAAATGCACGAAACCCAGAAGTCACCTTATTATGTGAGAGAGAAAAACACTTTTTAAACCAGTAAGGCTAGAGAAAGTTAAAGGACTTTACATCATATCATTTAGGAGCAGAAAGAATTTTGCCAACTTTTCTAGTTGTATTGCTCATTCTTAAATCAATAAATCCCTAACGCACAGTAATCTAAATGTTGTTGAATAGCATACAAGAGCCATCATCCCTCTTCCAAAAGAAAGTTTTACAAAACTATAAGAGTATATCCAATGCTTTGTTAAATATGTATTAAATATACAGGACAATCAGTCACATAGCAGAAGTCCACAAAAAGCCTCTGAAAAAAATCCAGACTATCACATATTTCTGAATAGTCCAAGATCTGAGAATATTTTTACATTTTTAAATTGTTGAAAAAAATCAAAGGAAGAATACTATTTCATGGTACATGAAAATTATATGAAATTCAAATTTTAATGCTCATAGAAAAAAATTTATTGGAACACAGCCACACTCATTTGTTTACATATCAACTGTGGCTGCTTTTGAGCTGTCATGGCAAAACTGAGTAGCTGCGACAAAGACTAGTTAGCAAGTCTACATATCTACTATCTGCTCATCTAAGAAAACATTTGTTGTCTACTCCCTTAAGAATGTGCTTTATGAAAGGGTGTAGGAGGGTGAATATGGTGGAAATATTATGTACACATGTGTGTAAATGGAAAAATGAGACCTGCTGAAACTATTTTAGGAATGGGGGGAGGGAGGAGTAAAGGAGAATGATGAAGGGGGTAAATTCAAATATGATATATTGTAAGAATTTTTGTAAAGTAACAATGTGCCTCCAGTACAACAATAATAAAAAAAGAAGAAAAGAATGTGTTTTACAATTACATTTCTCTTATAATACATTTGATAGGAAATAACTCTTTGCCAGGGCTTAGCTAATTAACAGCCTTAGGGTAATGTAAATGAGATTTCTGTTAATTACAGAAAATGGGGAATGTGGGGGAATAGGAAATGAGGGGAAATGTGACTTCTGTGTCGGTAGCTATAGACAGGCTTCTACATTCTATCAATCTTTTTTTAAAACTAACTTTATTTTTAATTGATGTCATATCTGTACATATTTATGACATAGTGTTTTGATTCATGCACACAATAGTAATGATCAAATGAAGGAGATTAGCATATCTGTCACCTTAAACTTTAACATTTTTTTTATTAGTGAATACACTCAAAATTAATTCTCTCTTCTAACTATTGAATATACAATACATATTGTTAACTCTATCTAACTTACTATTAGTCCTCTTTTCAACTAAGAGAGCTCAAACTTTTTATTATAGTTGTGTCCATGCAAACATATGACATAACATGTCAAGAGACATTCAGAGAGTTCAAGAGGAATTTAGATCCATATTACCTTCACTGCTACTTTGGTTTCTCCACTTCCAACCCCTAAGATATCTACAGCCATTCCTTCATACACTTCTCCAAAGGCTCCACTTCCCAACAAGAGATGGAGAGTCAATTTTTCCCGAGGGAAAGCAGGAAGATTTTCAATCTCCTCTTGGGTTGGAAGAGTACTGTAAAATAACAACATGTTCATTCTCCCCAAATACATGTGGCTTATGAGTTTGTGTTTGTTTCTGTGCTTGAAGGATACTTGGCAACATTGTGCATTCTGTCTGATACAGTAACATGGAATTTTGTTTCTATTCTTTACTATTCTACCAGGTTTGACCAGATTTACACAGACCAAACCTGTTACCTCACTTCCTGGCACCCTCATTTCAACAGAAACATGCACATGTATGTACTTCCTCAAGATTTTTATTATAGCTCATTCTGTCAAAGCCAGTAGTTATTAACTTCTTCAGGTTGCCAACTTGTGTAAAAAAATTACTGAAAATTGCATCTGGGTTTATGAGCTTTCTCTAATTGCTTCACATACCTGATCTCAAGTATGTGAAAAACAGTATTTACTATGACCACAAAAATCAACTCCATCACCATTAGGTTAACTTTTAGAAAACCAGTCTTCTCACTTGGAACATTATTGTTCACACAAAAGCCTCTAGAATATCAGTGCTTTGAGTTTTTAATAAAGAACCTTGAACATCAGATTCTTTCTCAAAGAAAGGGGACCTCTGAATAGCTGATTTAGGTCACCTCTATATCTATGCCAAATCCTCTGTTTGTATATAAATTTTAATTGTATAAATTCTATAAATTAGAAGTATAAATTTCTAGAAGCAAAGCCTATGACCATTATTCCTTTTTCAATAGATCATTTTATATATATATATATATATATAATATGTAATATATATATATATCATATGTAATGAAACACTTATTTTCCTTAATTATGACAACAGATGTTCAAAACTCATCTATTTTAAAGAGCTATTATAGGAAATCACCATGCAACTTCTGAAATGCGATAAAACTTGTCTTAATGGGACATGCATGAGACCTCTGGAATTTCCTCTCTTCTCAAACATTATCTCCAATTGAACAAACCGTTACCGTCTATTGTCTTCAGTGCAGTATCTCTCTCCTTTCATTTATTTTTGATAAAACACTGGAAAATGATAGATTTTTCTGAATTTCTCTTGTAGGATAGCCACCTACTTTGACATGCATCCCAGATCACATTTGACAGTAGAAGAGAATATTATTCATAATTATGGCAGAATAAATATAAGATAGGGCAGTCCTGGGCAGTGAGGGATGTGTGGGAACTCTTGTTATTGCTGCTCACTCTTTGCCTAGGTGATCCATAACAACAACCTAGGCTACGTACTGTATGGCATAGCAGGCGTTAGCCAGTCCCACTCCAGCTGCCAGACCTTGCAACTCAGCCAACTCTTTGTCTTCGCTTATGAGTCCTCTTAGCCCCTGCTTGGAATGTTTTTGATTCTTTAATCTTCTATGCCAGACTATAAAGAAAAAAGAAAAATTATAAAATAAAATATTGTTTCCTTTTTCTTTAGGAAATGTTAATGCATTTCAAATGCTCACATATATAAACACACGTGGTGGAATAACAGAACTTGAAAGAAAAATATATCCATAATAGAAAAAGTCATTAAATTCAGGTAAAATACCATAGAAAATACACAATTTATACGTGTCACTTCTCATCTTGTTTCTCAGAATAAGGTTTTTAAATTTCTTACTATAATTACAAATAAATCCAATTATCTTAGTCTTAGACTTATTTCACAAAAATACACATAAATAAGAACTTAAATGAACCAAAGTAAACTTGCATAATAAATTATTAGTGAAACAAATTCATTTCTGAGATCAGATATATCTATCTTATTCTGAGTAGATCTGAGGGAATGCTTTCAATATAATGACACACAGTGCATAAGAGTGTACACTTACTGTTGTTCATATATTTATATGTGTGTGAGTGTATATACATATATATTTAAATACATAGAAAATTGCTTGAATGAAGCCCACCAAACATTGATAGTGGTTCCTTCTAGTTGTGTAATCATGAGTCTTTTTCATATTATCAGTAGATATTTTTATAAGGATAAAAGTATTGGTTTTTGAAAATTAACATATAATTACACCAATAAAATCACCTATCTGTATAAAAATATTGGCTCAGAAATCAAAAATATGCAAAGATTCTTTGGAAGATGATGATTAAAACTTAAAGTTTAGGTGGCTGTGTTGGTGCACACCTGTAATCCTATAGCTCAGGAGGCTGAAGGAGGAGGAGCTAGGGGCCAGCTTAAGTGACCTGGCGAGACCCTATCTCAAAAAAAACAAACAAAAAATTGAACTTTATGTCACAGTAGATTCTATATCTAAGAGATTAGAGTTTTAAATAACATTCTGTCTGAGGGGTCATGTAGAGAAAGGTTGCAAGCACCTTTGTCAGTGCAATTTTTCAACCCTAAAATGCTTTCACCCTCACATGCTTAGAGATTCTTTTGGATACCTCTGCAAACTCTGGTGATCTCTCATCCATGAACTTGAAAGACCAACTGTGGCTCTCAATGTTTCTGCTATAACACTATTTTTCACATTTCCTGTTAGTTAATTCATATCTTGCTAGTTATCTTTTCACACAGGTTTATCTTACCTCTCTCACTGAAGGGCAAGCTCCTGAGGACAGCAATTATGTTTCACAGCTTTTTATTTCCTTCTACCCACAGCATAAAGCTAATATTGCATAGTAGCTATGACTACTTGCCAAGCCAAAGGTTGTCAATGCTTATTTTTAAACCCTGTTTCAATTTTTTATTTATAAGCATGACTGGTGAGAACCCTCAGGAAAATACAAATTTTGAAACAAGTGTTAGTTTTCATTTTTTAATAATTCAGTCTTTTCTCATGCACTCACACACTCCTATTTGTAAAATCACATGCACTGCTAATAAAAGCAAAAACTGAATTAGCTTAGCTACACTCAAAAACCCATGAATTCCAAGAATAAAGACCTTTAAGTCCTGAGAAAGTCAGATATCCATAGGATGACTTGAAAACACATAATAGGTTGTCTGAAATTATCTCTTTTTCATTCACTAGAGTTGTGGGTTTAAACAATGGTGATGTAGGAGTATGTAAGCAAAGGCCAGATGAAGGATTCCTCATGTACTTCTCCTTCCCAGTAGGAGAGCAGACAAACCGTCAAGTCTATATGCCAACTGCCAAATATACTGCAGTCATATGCGTAATTCTGGAGGGGCTGGCTTAGTGGCACAAACATCAGCTGTGCAATACTTAGACTGCCTGAAACCACAGGTTAAAATCCTAGCAGGCTTAGATGAAATTTTTAGCTTTCCCAGTTAGCTGAACGAGTGTTCCACATATTATCTGGGTGGAATCTTTCAAATGAAATCTAAATTCAAGTTCCACATGTTCTTTGATACCTTATTACACCAAGCAGTTTGGAGAAAGAATAAAGATTTGAAACACTTAATGAAATGCTGACTTTCTTTATTCTGAGTTAATTCAACTTTATATTTCTAACTTTTGCTTCAATATCCCCTTATAACTTTCCCTTACTTATAAGCAAAATAAGCCACTGAACATGCGCTTTGCTGGTATTATGACTTTCTTATTAGGTTTCAGCATGTCAGAGACTTTTAATATTAGCAATCAATAGGAGGACCATATATCTTAGAGCCCAAATCAACAGAAAGAAAATACTATTAATATTTATACTAAAACAACAGGAACAAACCAGAACATAAATCACTATGGTCCCCTACAGACCCAGTATCTGACCATCCATTTGTGGTTGCCACTATATTTTCTCAAAGTTAAACTAAATCTTTAAACATAGAGGATGGACTTTTAGGACTAGCACATTAGCATGGGGAGCAGCTAGCTTTCAGTCTACCTAACCTAATTCATCTTTTTTCTTGGTCACTTATAGATGAGTATGGATTTGAAATAAGCTGATCAGATGTTGGAAAGCAAGAGTGATCCTACAAGCCAGAAATGGATCTCCTATGAAAGAGGCCCTGTTCATTCCAAACCAGGATGCCTGCCAGGAGACCAAAACTATCCTGACCAATGAATGTCACTGACCTCCCATTAACCCTATATTTTTTTGTACCCAGGATTATTTTTATTTTATTCAGTTCAATCTATAAGCCACAGGACATTTGCTATAGCCAATCAGAAACAAATGCTGTCTTAATGAAAGTCTAAAAATGGTTCCCCTGTAAATATTTTAACCTAAAGTGTACAATGAGAACAGATATATTTTCCATAAGATAACAACCTTTGGCTAAGGTTTGGATCTAGAATGTTCACCAAAGGTTCATGTATAAAAGCCCTGATCCCCAACTTTACCCTATGGAGATATGGTGGAAACATTAACAGATGGGGCTTAATAGGAGGTCTTCTGGTCATTGGGGTCTGTTCTTGAAGAGGATAGTGGGACCCCAGACCATTCCTCTTTCTTTTACCCCCAGCCATGAGATGAAGGCACTGCTCTATTATGTGTTCCCACCATGAAATGCCACCACACACCCAGAGCAACAGGGCCAGTAAGTCATGGACTGAAGTCTCCAAAACTGTGAGCCAAAATAAGCCTTTGCAGGAATAGAAAACTTACTAACACATTCCTTGGTCAAAAAAAAATCATAGAAGTTAGTGGTTAAAATAAGATAACCAATGGTAATACTGTGAATTTTATGGACTTATTTAATCAAGTCATGTTTCATGTAGGAGACGAGAGAAGTTAAGAGATAAATTAATCAGAATGATTAAGTAAATACTTTATTACCTGTTTTTAAAATGTATGATACTTACCAAAGGTCAGAGGAATTGTGATAACCAAAAGTACTCCAACTATGACAGTAAGCATAAAACTTGTTTCTGGTATCCAAAACACATCTAATGGTACAAATGAGAAAATAAATTAATTCACAGAATAAAGTTAAATTATTCCACTTCTGCCTAAGCACACCTGATGTTAGCTTGAGATAGCTGCTACTAGATTTTTGCAAATCAGTTGTTCAACAGTTGGTGTTTAAAATCATCCATGGTGAGAGTATGTACACTATGGGAAATCAAAATCAAAGTTTTACTTCTCTGTTTCTCCTTTTTTGAGAAAGTCATTTACCAACACCTAATTGGAATACACACACCCAATATCCTATTTTAAAGTGACTGGGGAAAACAGGTATAATCTTTCTTAATGAGTTCAGGACAAAGAACTCTTACTCTTTATACATTATACACTCGGGATTATTATTTTTCTATAACATCATCATACCTATTTATCCACTGGGTATTTAACCAAGGAACATAAGCATGAAAACATAGTATGTCCTCTTAGGTAACTTCAATTGATAGAAGAGACAAATATGTAGACCAGAGTTTGGTAAATCTGGCTGCAGCTTGATTTTGTACCTCTCATGAATTCAGGATGGTTTTTATAGTTTTAAAATACTACTGAAGGAGGAGGATGGGGAGGGAGAGAAAAGGAGGGAGATGAAAAAGGAGAAGAAGAAGAATCAGCTACAGAGAACAGATACAGCATGCAAAGCCTAAAATACTTACTATGTGGTTCTCAGAAAATGTTTATCAAATTTTTATATAGATAACTGATTGTAATGTACATGAAAACGATAGGAATCTCATATGAAATATGTGTGTATATAATGTCACAATTGATTTTGCCCAAAGTGCAGAAGTTAAGCATCACATGGATTTATTTCAGTTAGGTCTTCAAGGGTCTGGGCACTGGTGATTTATGCCTAAATCCTAGCTACTCAGGAGGCAGAGATCCCAGAGGATCAAAGTTTGAGGCCAGCCCCAGCAAAATGAAAGTGGGACCCTATCTCAAAAATACTCAACACAAAAAAAGGGCTGGCAGAGTATCTTAAAGGATAGAGTGCCTACCTAACAAGCATGACCTGAGTTCTGTCAGGTCAACAAGTTTGACCTGAGTTCAAACCCAAGTTTGAACTGCCAAAAAAAAAGGTTAGGTCTTCAAGAGGGAAAAGAACTTCAACTGTCAGAAAAGAATGGAAAGGAAATCTTAGGTAAAGAGCACATAGTAAGTGGTGGGGGCCTGCCTTCCAGGCTCAAGGAGCCACAGGTCCAAAGCCTTAGAGACAAAAATGCTTTTACTAGTGCCATATGGCTACAGCACAGGGATAAATTTAGGAAGGAGGACAAGTCATGGAAGACTTTTCATGCTGCTCTAAAGTTTGTAGTTGAATCTAAAGGCAGAGAATAAAGAGCCATTTCTGGTCTTTCCAAGAGGGGTTAAGTGGTCCAGCTTGTGCTTCAGCTAGTTTAAGTGACAGCAGTGTGATTAATCCAGGAGCACAGGCAAGAAATGATACCTTAAATTAGGAAAGCCAATGTGGAAATAAGAAGATGAGGATTCATCAGAGAGAAATCAATAAAATTTGGTGACTGTGTTAGATAGAAAAATCAAATATAGCCTGTGAGACTAGAAAGATAATGTGTTATAAGTAAAATAGCATACAGTGGAAGAGGTATAATTAGAAAGAGACGAAGAGTGACCCTAGGCCTCCTGTGTATAAAATGAGAGTACCAAGATAGGCCTGGTTGTACATGCCTATAATCCCAGCACTTGGGAGGCGGAAGCAAGAGGATTGTGAGTTTGAGCCCAGCTTGGGATACACAGCAAGTTCCAGTCTAGCCTGGGCTACATAGCAAAACCATCTAAAAAAACTTTAAGTACTAGATAAGACTGGATAGGTAAAGACCAAATTACAGACAGCTTTGGAAGCTTATCTAGGAATATGGAATTGATGTGGTAGGCATTGGGAATAACTGATTATTATTGAAGAGAAAAATGAAATGATAATACTGATGCCTTAGGAAGATCACATGAGTTTCAATAATTTGGATGGCAAGTTATAGAATCACTAAATCTGTTACTAATGTTCAGGATATGCCTAATGTTAGCACTAAACCATTACACAAAAAGCTATTGGATAGACAGATGTGGTGACATACCTCCAACTAATATAATATTCTCACTGACTCCGCTATATTCACCAAACCCAAGATTATTGGCAGCTACTACTCTGAACTGAAATGTTCCTTCCAAGTTTTGGGACTTCCATGTGCAAATGCTAGTGCAGGACCCATTAAAAGCCATCTTCCACCTTAAATTATGGTTCTGTGAATCACTTGAAGTGGCCTTTCTGCAAAAGAAACATGAAAATAGTAAATACATGAAATATATCTTACAATATATGTGCTATTTCTAGTTGCTCATATATCATTTCAGTGACAGATCTCCAGAGAGTCTCTTATTGCACTCTTTGCCCTTGATCTCATTTCTCTTGTATGATTTGGCTACAGAACACAGCATGGGTTTATAAAGTCATCCAAGTGATGCATGAGCCAACCAACTCAGCCCATCAAAAAAGTTACAAATAACCAATGGAAAATAATATCAAGAGAAAACTGATAATCATTTTCCTAGTATTTAGAATGAATAAGATGTCTTTAGAATTCCAAACACATCCAATAATTATTTCATAATTTTTAACTGGGAAGTTAATTTTTTTCTTAATTTTTCTTAATGTTCTGAATGAGTTTTTAATGTGATTTTTAATTTGCTTATGCAATATCTGGATAAAACATGAAATATAAAATGATAAGAAAGATATGACAGTGCAGCCACCAATGTTACCATTATATCTGAGATTCTAAGGTTCATTTCTTCCTTTTGTATTGGCCTATACTTTACCTCAAAACCTATCCACATTGTTCTTCATATGAAACATGGGAAGAACACAAAAGCTGGGTTCAAAAAAATGAAACTGGAATGGCTTTTAACAGAATCACTGACAGAAGGCAAGTTCAAAGTCTTCCAACGATTACATCTTCTCTGACAAACAAGTGAGTATTTAAACATGGTCTATGTACTGAACTGATAGTGTTCCCTCAAAATCCATGCTCACCCAGAAATTGTGAATGTGACATTGGCTGAAAATAGGTCTTGGCCAATGACATCAAGTTAAGATGAGGTCATGCTAGATTAGGGTTGGCACTCATTCAATGACTAGTGCCCTTTAAGAAAAGGGAATTTTGGACACGAGCGCACAAAGAACACCACGTCATGATGGAGGCAAAGACTGGAGTGATACATCTACAAACTCAGCCCAAGGAACTAAGGAACACCAAGAATTTCTGTCAACTTCATGACTCTAAATAGAAGCAAGGGAAAGAATCATCTGTAGACCCTTCAAAGGGAGCATGGTCCTACTGACACCTTGATTTTAGACTTCAAACCTGTAGAACTACAAGAGTAAATTTTTGTTGTTTTAAGGAACCTAGTCCTAGTAGGTGGCACTTTGTTATGGTAGTCCCAGAAAACCTATAAAACTTATTTAGCAACCAAGTTCATGCACTTTGCACTACCTCTGCTCCATCAGCAAGAACACAAAGTCTAACTAGGGTGTCCTGACTAAAGAGCTGACTTACAGATGCTGAAATTACAACAATAACAATTCATCCTGTCATCCTATAGTCCATGTATCTACAGTGGAGACATAAGGCAAAGAGTATGCAAACTATTTAGATGAAATCATGTATTTAACGTCCTACTGGGGGAGACACACAAAAGGGGTCCTAGCGAGAACTATGATGTGCTGTGTTTATAGCAGCACTATTCATAATAACCAAAATATGGAATCAGTCTAGGTGTCCATTGACTGATGAACGGATAAAGAAAATATGGTATATATACATAATAGAGTATTTTTCAACCACAAAGAAGAAAGAAATTATGCTGTTTGCAAGAAAATGGAGGGAACTAGAGATGATCATCTTAAGCAAAACAAGCCAAACTGAGAAAGACAAATATTGCATGTTCTCTCTCATATGCAGAGTCTAATCCTTGAAAATAACTGACAGGAATGCAAAACAGTTTCTCTTTGGAGGTGGGATCCAGTAGGAAAGGAAAGGGAAAAAGGAAAGGGTGAAGGGAGGTGAATATATGGAAGTACTTTGTATACATGTATGAAAACAGATCAAGGAAACCTGTGAAATTGGTGTAAGAAGGCAGGGAGATGAGGGGCAATATTAGTAGAAGGTGTAAATTTATTGGGGTACATTGTAAATATGCATGGAAATATTAAGAGGAAACCCCTTTGTACTACTAACAAATATGTAAAAAATAAATAAAATGTTTGATATGGGAAAAATTAAATATTATGTCATGGCCTGGTTGTTGGACACAATTACAGCCACAGGCCACCAAGATGGCTCTGCAGGTCAGAATGTATTTCACTGTGTATGAAAAACAGTAACAGAATCTCATGCAGGTTTCAATTAGAAATGTGGCCAAGAGAATTCTCTAGCATGAGCAGGAAAAAATTTTAAGGTTATGGGGCTGCCAGAACAAGAGGAAGCAAAAATAGATCTAAAGCTCAAGTTGCCAGGACTATAATTATGGAAGTGACTTTTGTCCTTGGAGCTTCTTAAAAGATGGCTTCATAGTCCCGTGAGGGAGTGTTTTTGGAATTTGGAAATCTCCCTTCAATTTGGCATGAAATCAGTTCTAAGTCAGTTGCAGTTCACTGAGCTCCCCATACTGACTGTATCTGAGGTTGTATATGCCCATCTGCTGCTGGGTTTCATCGACAGCCCAGTCTCAGTCTCTGTAAACACATGCACACTGTAATCTTCACAACAGACAGAGGCTTATCCTGGCCCATAAACTTTAGGCAATTCCAACTTCTCCCTGCTTTTACAATCTGAAAAATATCTAGCTCTACTCTCACTAGAGAGTATTCAACCATCCTTTAGAAAATATCAGAAATTTGTATGTATACATCTGCTCAACTTCTTAAACAGAATAGATATTAAGTCAATAATGGCTGCATGAGCCTATGATTGAATGATTTCTCTACAGTTTTAACGAGCAGTTGCAGATTTCTGGGAATGGTGTGATATGACTTATAATTAAGAGTGTCATCCCTGACCTCTAGGAATTGAGCAAAGAACAATGCCTGCAAGATCCTGAAACTAAAGATGCTTTGTGTTTATATACAAATATGCTTTCATAAACATTATTACTTTTATCATCTTATAATTAACTGCTTAGCTCTTTGTAGTATATAAAGCACTTTTGCAAATAAACATACCTGATCTCAAGGATATAGTACATAAGTCTACTTCCATTATCTTCAGCTTTTTCCCACTGTATTGAATTTTTACTCCCTTCTAATAATTTGGGAATGCCTGGTTTACTTGGGACTCCAGCTTTGAGGAAAAAAGAAAGTACTGATTGACATGTTATAGGTATAAAATATTCTGCATTAACATCTTTCTATAGAACATACGGAGGAAAGATACATTAAAGAAATATTCCAAGTATGTATTTTAAATGAATACCTGAAATTTTTGTTAATTATGGATTAGATGGATTAGTATAGGATTAATGATATAGCTCAATTTGACAGAAAATAAGTGATTAATGAAAATAAGGAAAACATCCATAAGTTTGGGGCATTTTCCCTCTACTCTTATAGGTATCAACTTGTTCGAACTTCTAGTATATCTTTCAGAATTGTAATTAATTGACTATACTTGCTAGCTTTTTCATTTTTAGCTTCTGGAATACAGAAACAATCTAATAAGTATTTGCTGAACACTCAGTTCCATTAAAAAAAGGGTAATTCTTACTGCAAAAATCACAACTAGACAGCAAATCAGAATAGTGTAAGGAAAAAAATGTTCATGGTTCAGGATCCTACAAGACCAAGCCAGTATTATGTCATTACTGCCTATAAAGACTCCTGACTCTTCAATTTCTTCATTTAAATTCAAGAAATAACAATGACTCTTATTTAGGAAAAAAATCCATCCTCTTATATTGGTGAAACAGAAGGTGGGAAAATATTTGAGACACCTATAGTCCTTTCTGAGTGATGAGTCTGTTAACACTAACCTTTTGTCTTGAAACCTTCTGGAAGCGAAGTGCTCTTTTCTCCAGTCATATAAACCACCACTACTCGGACATTATAGGAAGTACAAGGTTGTAGGTCTGTAATGTTACAGACATAAGCTGGACCTTGGCTGCATGAAGCTTCGACATGGTAAAATTCATTGTGTTTCCACTAGAAAAAGAAGTGTCAACTGACATTTTTGTTTCTTTAAGAAAATCTTAAAAACAGTTATTTATATTGCTGTTTGTCTGCTTTTTAAAATTAGGATATATTTGTTGTACGTGGGGGATTCATCATGACAGTTCCAAATGTGATTACATTTTACATTGCATAGATTTCCCCATGTTCTCTCCACCTGGACCCCTTCCTGCACCATTTGAAGCAATTGCAAGTGGTTTCCTTGAAGTCCACCAACCACATTCCCTCACTTTAATCTCCTCCTTTCACCATTCCGTCTTCCACAAATACTTCTTCCAACATTCTGTATCTATTTTACATCCTGTAATTTATTATTAATTTATAAATCTATTTTCAAAGGAGTTCTCAGTGTATCCTGCTTTGTTTATACTTTACTTTGGTCAGTTCAACACTATCTATTACTCTCCCTAACTCCTTAATCCAACCCCATTGTTCTACAGCTTTTAATACACATGACAGTAATGCAATACATATGTTTTTAAGGAAATATTAAAATAATTTGCAATCCAAACCATAACTTCTAGAGCTGAAAAATGAAAAGCTAAAAGAAAATAAGTAAGGCTTAGAGTGATTTCTTCAGGCTCTGTAGATAATTTACAATTAAATCATCCAGTTTCTTTATTAAATATAGGGGCGGAACCCAGGACTTTCTCTATATTAGGCAATGTCTCCAAATCTGAGCTATATATCCTAACTTGGGTCTTTAGTGTTGCTGTTTTTTTCTTATAATAGGGTGTAAGTATGTACTCCAAGGTTTTCTTGCTTTCTCTATGTAGCCCAGTAAGAATTAAACTTCACATACACCTGCTACATCCTCCTGAGAGCTGGGATTTCAGCCTTGTACCCCAATGCCTGTGCAAAATAAAATAATCTTCCATTGAGCACCTAAACCTGAATATCACTATACCCCTCCTACTGTATTTCTGTCTGAGCAGTGTTCTGAACAATAAATTGGAAAAACATGCTCAAACTTAAAAAAAAAAGAAAATCTTAAAAACAGAAATTTATAGGTATATGATTAATTGATTAAAACTTAAAAATTTATTTTCTATCAAAGATTAAGGGCTTCTATATGAATGTTTGATCCCAAATATGACTCACACCACCTAAAACCATTTTATTTTTTATGAAAATATATAACCAACCTGAAGGAGAGTTCTTGGAATTAGCAGAAGGTGGGACATACACCCTGGCTGTATATTATGGGGGAAGATTCAGAGCTATGATTTCTTTCTATCCTTAATTGTAGACACCCACATTAAATAGGGATGCCTAAGAATGCAAATTCACAGATGAAGAACAGTGACGGAGCAAAACATGATAACTTCAATTCTAAGAATTTGCTAATTTCAAGATAATGATAATTTCACATATTTTGATTCTTTGAAGAAGTCCATATGACTTCCAAACTGAGACATTTAGGTTTTTCTCCTAACACTCTCTTTATACATGTGAGCAACATTCCTCATATTTATAAATAGGAAGTGTAGATGGAAATTGTTGCCCACCATCACGCAGCTACTAAGTAGCAGCGTTAGAAGTTAAATGTGGGAAATCTTTCTTTCACTCCACTTTAGATATTGGGTCTGTAATTATATCTTTCTGAAACTTCTTTCTCTGTGACATTGCTTTTTTAAAATCTATATATTTAAACACTTAAAATCAGAATTTGAAAGTGGTGATTTTTTTTACTTAAACAGGAAAAACAAACAAAGAATGTGGCATTTTGTCAAGGGTACAATGTGTGTTTTTCTTAGTAGTTTCCTAAGAAGTCCAGTTTTTATAAATAAACACTCTATTTCTCCTCACGAGCTTACATCACTTCATTAGATAGACAATTTACATTAGTTTCTATTAAGTTAGGAATGTTCTCCATTGCACTTTCAGGAAGTAGACCATCATGTTACAAGAAAAAGGGGAAAATCAAAAGGAAGGAATAAAAATAAGAAATAGAAATACTGACTATAGGAGCATTGCATACACTAAACTCATAAATATTAATTTAAAAGGACATCTATCCCCACTACCACCACCATTCACCCCTCAGAGTTTCAGTATGGACTTATGGTATCATTCCCAGCTCTCCTATATTAGGAGGCAAGTTCAAGTTGCTAAAAAAGAGATGAAGTTTCCTAGCTAGAGGCCACTCATCAACCCTCTCAAAACTATAGCCTTCCACTGTGGTCATCATTAATACTTCCACTAGAGATGGTCACACTTGTAAAAGTGACCTTATCTTACATTTTCAGCTTCATGATTTTCTAAATTGCCTACTAGGAAAGAACCTGTGTTGCTTGTGTGTGAAAATAGAGAAAGTATAGAAACATATACACTGCTGAAAGTCATGAGGACTGGACCAGGAGGTGCTGTCTGCTGTCCTTCTCCTTAGACTTTGAGGAGTAGGATGCATGATTTAATGACACATGTTTCTTCCATTGTCAGCACCCAAATAGGACTGCTGTAGGGACATATGGCCCTGGGGCTTTTCTGCTTAGGTGGTGATATCTGGGTCATCAGAGCATCTGTCTTGGGTCTCTCTTTTCTCATCAGGAAAATGACAAATTAGAGCATCATCTCTAAAGTCCTTTCCCATTCCACTTCTTTGATCTAGGAAATGAACTATACATTCCTCTCCTTGACTTAGGAACTGAATTAAGATTACTTAAATAGATGTTAAAAAATGGCAATCCTCCAATTTCTCCAACTTAGCTACTTTTTTATTAGATGACCATTTTTTAAATAGACAACAAATGATCAGAAACATGCTCAATGGAAAAATATAATTAAATTATTGTCTTCAGTTTTAACAACTCAGTATTCAGTGTTGTTCCATATTCTCTTGTAGTGTTATATAAAAAGTACAAAATAACAAAAAATTATATAGTAAATTTTAAAAACATTCTGAGTAGAGTAACTCAAGTGGTAGAGCGTCTGCCTTGCAAGCATGAGATCCTGAGTTCAAACTCTAGTACACCAAAAAAAAAAAAATTCTGAGGAATGACTTCATTCTTCAGAAATAGTGAAACAGATCATGAATGTACTGATTTGTTAAGTTACTACTAAACAAGATATTCTTAACCAATCTTTACAAATGTGTAGATATACAGAAGCTCATATATGTACAAGCTTAGACACATATATATATTGAAAATAACAAGGAGCAATTATTAAAAAATTATTTTAAAATATATATAATATTGAAAATAACAAGGAGCAATTATAAAAAAATTATTTTAAAATAAAATAAATTGACAATCGCTGGGCACAGTGGCTCACGCCTGTAATCCTAGACACTTGGGGAGCTACAATTGGGAGGATCAAAGTGTGAGGCCAGCCAGGTAAAGAGTTGGAGAGACCCCATGTCCAAAATAACCAGAGCAAAACAGACTGGAGGTGTGGCTCAAGTGGTAGGGCACCCTCTTTGAGAGTGCCTGCTTTGTAAGAATGAAGCTCTGAGTTCAAACTCCAGTCCCACCAAAAAAATTTAAAGTAAAAAATTTTACAGTTAGTTTGTCTACACTCAGTGTATCACTATAAAAGTCAATGTGGATTTTCCTTCTCTGTGAATTAATTAGATTAGTTGATGCCTTAAAAGTCCTGTAGGTGTTTTGGTATTGGCTAAAGCATGTAGAGTTTTGGATACAGAACCATTTAAAGTTTATGAACCAACATCAGACTAGTTTTGGAATAAACCGATTTTATATTTTACTTCTCTCTATGGCTGCAGAGCTGTCAAACGGTTAAAAGTATATTTCTAAACAAAGTTGGGGGTTTTTTGTTTGTTCATTTTCTTTCTTTATGTTTTGGGTTTGGGGGTTGTTTGGGGGTTTTTTGGCAGTGCTAGGATTGAACTCAGGACCTTGTGCTTGCTAGGCATGCACTGTACCACCTGAGCCATGCCTTCAGCTTTTTTTGCTCTAGTCATTCTTTCAGATTGGGTCTCATGGTTTTGCCTGGGGTCACCTTAGACTGTGATCCTCTACCTACACTTCCATATAGTTGGAATCAGAGGCATGTACATTGCTCCTGGCTTGTCCTTTGAGATGGAGTCTCACTAACATGTTTTTGCCCAGGCTTGACTCAAACTGTGATCCTCCTATGTCTGCCTCCCAAGAACATGGGATTTCAGGAGTGAGCCACCATGCCCACCCTTCTTTCATGTTCATTGCAAACACCTCATTGTTATGGACTTTAAACCAGAAACCCATGTAATAACATTTAACTAAGTAAACTATATGAAATTAGTACATTGTAACTTATACCATTTTACACAGAGCCTCTTAAAAGCAAATTAATCTCCCAGAAATTCTATCAGCAATTAGTCTGGATAACTCACTGCTTCTATATGTCAAACCTGAATTGATGAGTGTTGTCAAGTACTTTGTTGACTGAAACAGCAAAACATTCTAGACATGAAAAAGGCTTTCCAATTTATTCTATATCATAAAGTAAAGATGTGCATAGAAGTCTACCTTTTGGAGTTCAAACCAAAATCTGATCAGGCTAACATTAGATGGAGCATTCCAATCTAACTGCAAACTAGTGTTCTCTGGAACCAAAGCATAAGGTTTCTCTGGTGTGTCAAACGTTTTGACAGTGGCAGGTCGACTCTCAGCACACCACATTTGCTCCGAGTGGCAGGTCAGTACCTTTTTGTAAGAAAGAATAGTGCTTAATCTTTCAGAACTTGCACTTGAGAATAGCAATAAAAAGTGCCCAATACACTTCATACCTTTAATACATAAAGTTGTCCACCAGACAGCCCAGAAACAAGGAGAGCGAGCCTTGCATTTGGAAATTTGCTTTGTCTTAGTGGAGTCTCAGGAATTGGGGCCAGATGTGAGATTGCCAGTTGATAGCGGACTAACTCTTTAGGTCCATTGGGCTTGTGAGATTCTCCCCAGGAGACAAGGAGGCTGGTATCTGACAGCACAGTTGTGTTAATGAGACAAACTGCCTCTGGTACTGAAATAAATAGCAATGAAGGATAAGGGACATTGCAACAGAGCTGAAAGATGGAAAGAAGAGAAGGAGTCTTGATTGAGGAGCAATCCTATCATGTGAGCAGAATGAATAACACATGTCCCGATGGAAAACCAGCCTCTTGCATAATGCTAAGTTAGCAGGCTGCCTAAAAGACTCTTGCCTATTTATGCCTAATGACCAAATCGTTCTATGACACCAGCTGAATGATATAGGCAATGATAAATTACCCAATTTGGATAAATTTTGTGAATATCACTAGAAATACCCAAAAGACATAATCACTACCTCTTACAACATCTTTTTAGATTCTAGACCTATTTTCTTTTAAACAGTCATGTTATATTACTTTAAATCTCAGTGGGCTCAGTACACTTCACATAGATTTTCCTGTCTCACCGCATATACAGAGATCTGTGAGTATATGGGGAGACAGTGACACTGTGTGGTGAGACCAAAAAATGAGACTCTTAGTCAAACGATTAATTGTGTTGTTTCACCTCTTAGTTGCTTTGTACTTTGATGGAATATTCATCATCTTCAGGGTTTGAAGTAAGGGTCAAGTTCTCAAATCTTTTCTTACAAATTCACCTTTCATATGAAACTTTAAAAGGTTCACATAACAATTACTACTTAGCCTTCAGATAAAAAATAGAGGCATACATCTCACATATATCACAAAATTCCATTCTTGAACCCTACACCAAGCCCAGAACTCACCTCCACTTTTAGTTTGTCCCCAAATCTCTTTCCCTGAAGGTAAATGTTCCAAAGAATCTGAATAATAATTCGTTACAGCTATCTGTATCCCATATGTTGAAAATGGTTGTAAACCTTCAATAAGAGCTATATTCTCTTGAGATTCCTGCAATTAATTTTTAAAATGAATATTTATTCTTATATTTTATGCAAATGAGTTGTGATTATTTAACCAAAGAGAAAACATTCAAAGACTCAAAACTAGTTAATTTATATTTAAGTTCTAGATTGTTAATTCTATCATCATAATCTACCCAGATTTGAGTTGTTTAATATCTCCATGAATAAATGCCAAATGATTGGCAGCCCTGAGTCCAATTTTGTGAAATAACTCATTTCACATAGAAATTAAATTCCCAAAAGAAAACATCATTTCACTAGCATTGCATTAGACATTTGACAAGATGCTACTATAAGGTTGGACACATAAGTAAATATAATAAAAGATTAAGCAATATTATCTAATCATTCTTAGAAATAAATCTTAAGACAGTAAAAAGACATTCTATAGGCCAGTGATTCTCAATTTTGTGCTTCAGAATCACTTAGGAAATTTTAGAAAATACTCTGCTTAGGTTCCATCCATACAGAATCATTGAATTATCTGTGGCAAAGCCAAGGCTGAGAATCACTGTCTTAGTCCCATCCTAACCAATGTGAAGACAATAAGATAGATTGTGTCTAATAACAGAAATGTGCCATGCTACAAGCACAATCTTGATCAGCCAACTAATCCAATCTGTCTCTGAAACAACTCCTTTTAAAAATGTTCAAAAAAAATAGACAATAAAGAAGTAACAAAGAAACACGTATACTTTATGGCAATCAAATGGTGTTTAATGTCCAAGAGCTGATGATCAATCTCACTTTTGAATTGGTTAAAGAAAGCCAAGCACAAAGCAAAATATTGGCTATATATGATTCCATCACTAAGACAATTGAACTACCAATGCCAGTGTTAGAATAAATTAATTCACTCATTCAAGAACTAGTTAATGAATGCCTGTACAATACCAACTATTATACAACTGCTAGAAATACTCTGATAATTAGAAACAGACACAGACTGGGAGAGGATCAATGGGAGGTAAGAGTGGGGAAAAGGGAGAAAGGTGAAGAAGATCAAAATACTTTACATATTTATATATGAAGATAGCATAATGAAACCCACCAAACACTGTTTGAAAAAAGGAGGGGGGGAGTGAAGTTAAGGGAATAAAATAGAAGGGGTTAACATGTTCAAAGTACACTGTACACATCTATGGAAGTATCACAATGAAACCCCTTTGTACTATTTTAATGTATGGTAATATAAAAATAGTAAAACAATATAAAAAGTACAATTTTATATTAGATAAGTGCTATGAAGAAGAAGCATATGGCAATGTTATTTCTGCCCAATTAATTTTCAATCTATTGGATGGGCCACAAAAATAAGTCTCTATCACTCTCCAGGGATAGATAATCAGGAAGAACAAATTTAGTCCTCTCAGGACACTCAGGGAACTTTTACCATGGCAATCCATCAACTGGCCAGAATGAATATGCATCCTTGAAGTTTAACCTCTCCCAGATGTTTTGATGAATCATTGGTTGTAAGCAGATATGCCTTAGAACATATGAGAAATACCTTATTGTGGCTGAGAGTTGTTTGTTTGTTTGTTTTTTTAATCAAAGAAGGACATCTTGTGAAAAGACAAAAACCTCTAACTCCAATCTTACCAGCATTCTGAATTTCAGGTCCGTGCTGTTTATCCTGCCATTAACTTCTGTATAATAAACAAGGTATGTTGGTGTAGGGCTGGTGATACCATACAATGTGAGATTTGTCTTGGCTGGAGGTAACCTGATCGTGAGGCTGGTGTTAGTGGCATTAAGTATAGTTGGTTCTGCAATATGTGAAGCTAGAGATAGATATGCTTTATCTAAAATAAGAAGAAAACAAAGATGAAATAGATGGACAAGGGGAACACTAAATTTATGGAACATCAAGTGTAATGTTAAAGTTTAAAAGAAATTTGTAGAATATAAATAATGTTTAATGGAAAGGATAAACATGAAAGTGCTTTTGAAATAATGTTCTCTTTGAAGAAACAGAAATAGCTGCATCTCAACACTGAATATGGCAGTCACTCCTAGATTCTATCCAATATCCTCCTCCTCTTCTTCAAGTTCACATACGTCTAATATTGTTCAGGGTGGCATGCCCAGAGGAGAAAACTCAGTTTCTAAGGCTCTGTTGCAATGGGGGAAATCCTATAACACAGTCTAGCCCATTAAATGTAAGATGGGTGTCTTGCTCTGTAGACTTTCCAGAGCAGCAGTTGTCTCACTAATAATAAAACAGCAAACTTGCTGTTACACATCCTGGCCTGTCACCTTCCCCTTGCCCACAGTGCAGACGTGCTATCTCAGGGCAGCGACTGCCTTGTGAGAACTGATAAAAAGGACATATTAAAGAAGTGTAGGGGAGCTGGATAAGGTGGCAACACATCTATAATCCTAGCACTTGGGAAGCTGAGGCAGGAGGATTAAAAGTTTGAGGACAACATGGGCTACACAGCAAGACCCTGTCTCAAAAAAAAGAAAACAGAAAAGTTTGGGGAAAGACAGACGTCAAAGTGCTTGGCGGCATTGTGGATTTGCCTTGACACCCCTTACAGCCGCATGATTGCACCCTGCACAACTCTAGAGCGCACCATTCAAAGACTACAGTAGGAATGGGAAAGGGGACAGTGCGCCCAATGCAGATACACAACCACACTGCAGGCTCCACTGAAGCCTCTAAAATTATGTTTCTGTTATTTGCAGTTGAATGCAATTTCTAATCCACTCACTTGGATTAAATACTATGTAAAAAAATGTCACCCAAAATACAGTGCCATAATGCAAAGAGAACACAAAATGCAAATAACTGTAAATGTGATGTTATATGAAAACTAACAATCTTACATCAGTTAACCAACTACTTGACTCATGGTCCACAGCACTTTGCAATCTGGCTCCTGTCTGGTGCTCTACCCCATCTCTGACTGTGCAAAGTCATCCTTCACATTCATCACTTTCCACTACTGCAAATTGTGCCAGACTTCACCCCATCAGCTCTTCACATAGGTCGTCTCCTCATCTGGAATGACCTTCCCTACCAAGGAATCCTTACTTTAGTCTCAATTCTTCTATCCTGTCTCCTGGGAACCCCTGCCAGTGCTCTAATCTAGGTAAGAGCATCTCTTCCATCTTTATATTCCTTCACCATAGCAGTAGCTGCTTCTTGGTTTGGGGTTTGGTTTTTCTTTTGGTGTTTCTTTTTTTTTTTTGGCAGCACTGGAGTTTGAACTCAGGGTCTGATGCTTGCTAGGGAGGTACTCTTACCCCTTGAGCTGCTCCGCCAGCCCCAGTGTTTATTTCTTTATCCACCACTAGAATGTGAAGTTTCTTGAACTAAGACTGGGTTTGGTTTACCGGAGGCCCCCAGAGCCCCAATAGGGTCCCCGACACATTTTAGGTACCTAATAAATGTCATCAATCTTTTTAGTTTGTATTATCAAAATATAAAAATCATTTCCATTCAATAAGAAAATTAGTGAGAAAATGTTTAAGGACCAAATGACTTGATCAAGCCCACTCCTTCACTCCCTATTTCACAGATATTTGTAAATTACTCTATCCCTGGCACATTGTTAGCATTTTTAACAAATAGTAGCTATTATCATCATCATTAGTAAACCATGGAAAAATTAGAATAATGCTGATCTGATTAGGAGATTACAAATATGAATCCAAAAATGCAGAAAAGAATGTTTAAAGTTAGACTTAGTTCATAGATTTCCAGCAATAGGGACTGTGCCAGGAATAACTGGGGCACAGTCATTCTTAAATTTTTATTTAGCTAATATGGTAGGGTAAAGTGCTGGAAATGTCACCCAGGACAGGAAGACAAGTTTTTCCCATACTTTCTTTCTATTTCTTCCTTGCCTTTCCTTCATTTGTTCCTTTGTTCATTCCTTCCTTCCCTCTTTTCTTCCTTCCTCCCTTCCTTTATTAAATCCCATACATTTTGACAATGTTAAATGCCTCAAGAGAAAAAGGAGCAGGGTAACTGGTAATTACTTAAAATTTCCAACAGATGGAGGTAAAGTACCCTTCATAATGTACCTAGAGCATAGAAAAATAAAGTTGATACTTTTTTCAAAGAAAATAATCAGAGCATTATACAAATCATATTTTAGTGAGTTTCAGTAATAAAAACACATGCTACCTTTAGGACTTTTCTTTTGAGTGTATATTTGTTTGTATGTGTTTATGCATAGGAGTGTGTCATTCAACTTCAGATACTGCATGTACTTTTTTCTTAATAGACTATTTTTTAGTAGTTTTAAGTTTGCAGTAAAATTGAAAGAAAGGTACAAAGGTTTTCCACATATGTAGCTGCACACATACACAGCAATCCCCATTATCAATATCCTCAGCAGAGTGGTATATTTGTTACAATCAATGAACCTACATTGACATATCATTGTCACTTATAGGCAGGAAGTACTTTACATTAGGCTTCCTGCTTATGTTATGTATGTTATCGGTTTGGAAAAACATGTAATGGCTTACACCAACCAGTTAGCACTACTTCAGTGCCCTGAAAGTCCTCTGTGCCTCCGTTTATCCCCTCCTCCCCACCACTGGTAATCACTGATATTACTACTCTCTATAGTTTTAACTTTTCCAGAGTGCCATATAGTTGTAATCATACATTATGTGCCTTTTTCAGGTTGGTTTTTTTTTACTTACTCTTACTTCTTCCACGCTTTTCATAGCTCCATAGTTCATTTATTTTTAGCTCTAAATATTACTCTTATGTCTGTGATCAGTTTTGAGTTAATTTTCATGAAGGCTGTAAGGTTTGTGTCTACATTCAGTTTTGTTGATGGATCTCCAGTTGCTTCAGCACGATTTGTTAAAAATGCTGTCATTTCTCCTTTTGTCTCTTTATCAAAGATCATTTGACTACGTGTATGTGGGTCTCTTCCTGAGCTCTCTGTTCTGTTCCATTGATCTATTTGTCTATCCTTTCATCAATGCCACACTGCCTTGATTATTGTAGCTTGTGTCAGTCAATTTTAGTCTAAATTCTCTCTTCTTCTGAAGAGAAGTTGGATATCTTTGTACCTCTATTGGTAAAATGGGTCTTTTGCTCTTTTTCCACAATTTACCTTTGATTTTCTATGATTTGAATTTGATAAATCTAGTGTCATTTTTGGTATTGACCCCATTTGGCATTCTCTGAGCTTCCTGTAACTACACCTTGGTATCTGATATTAATTTGGGAAATTTGGCTGTCATTATTGGTTCATATTTCTTCTGTTCCTTTCTCTCTTTCCTTTCCCTCTGATACTCACATTACAGTAAGCCTGCCTTATTTGCAGATTCATTGTTACACATGGATTTGACCAAGTATAGTCAAAACAGTAACAAATAAAAATGTTATTTGAATACATTAGTTGTACAAGGGAGTTTCATTGTGATATTCCACAGTTGTACTCCATACAATGTACTTTGAACAAGTTTCACACCATCTATTATACTCCCTTAGCCCTCCTCCCACTCCTCTGCTTTTCAAACAGTATTTAATGAGTTTTATTGTGCTACCTAGCTCTATATAGGTAAATATATATGTAACATACTTTGATCTTATTCACCCCTCAGTGCTCTCTCCTTCTCCTCCCCATTGATTTTCCCCCAGATAGTCCCCCTTTCACATCATCATCATTATTTTATGTCTAGATTCCATGTATGAGGGAAAACATGTGATATTTGGCTTTTTGAGCTTGGCTTATCTCACTTTACATGATAATCTCCAGTTTCATCCATTTTCCTATAAATAACATAATTTCATTCTTCTTTATGGCTGATTAATGCTCCACTGTATACCACATTTTCTTCCTCCACTTTTTGGTTGTTGGTCACCTACCCTGATTCCATAGCTTGACAATTGTGAACATAGCTGCTATACACATGAGTGTATAAGTACTTCTCTTGTATGTTGATTTGTACTCCTTCAGATTCATGCCCAAGGATGATGTAGTAGGGTGATAAGATAAATCTGTTTTTGGTTTTTTGAGTAATTTCCATATTAATTTCCATAGTGGCTACAGTAATTTACATTCCCGTCAACAGTGCATACAGTTCCTTTTTACCATACCTCGCCAGCATTTGTTGTTGTTTGTTTTCTTGATGATGGCCAATCTGACTGGGGTGAGATGGAATCTTAGTATTGTTCTGATTTTCATTTTCCTTATGTCTAAGAATGTCAAACATTTCTTCATGTATTTATTAGTCATTTATAATTCTTTTAAGAAATGTCTATTCAATTTAATTTTTCATTTATTAATTGGATTATTTGTTCTTTAGGGTTTTTATTGTTGAGCTTTTCTTGTACATTCTGGATATTAATTCTTTATTCTGTGGGTTGTCTCTTCATTCTGATAATAATTTTGTTCAATCCCATTTTTCAATTCTTGCTCTTATTTCCAGGACAATTGGAGTCCTATTCAGAAAATAATTGCCATGCTTATATCTTCAGGTGTTTTCCCTACATTTTCCTGTAATCATTTTAAAGTTTCAGATCTTACATTAAGATTTTTGATCCATCTTTAGTTGATTTTTCTACAGAGTGAGAGATTTGGGTGTAGTTTCAGTATTTTGCATGTAGATAACTAGTTTTCTCAGCACTATTTGTTGAAAAGGCTGTCTTCTCCAGTGTATGTTTTGGTTCCTTTGTCAAAAATCAGATGGTTGTAGCTGTGAGGGGTTATTTCTGGGTTTTCTATTCTATTCTATTGATCTAATGTCTATTTTTGTGCCAGTACCATGTTGTGTTTATTACTGTGGCTCTGTAGTATAATTTGAAGTCAGATATTGTGATACCCCTAGCATTGCTATTTTTGCTCATAATTGCTTTTGGTATTCAGGGTCTTTTATGTTGCCATATGAATTTTAGGACAGATTTTTCTATTTCTGTGAAACACTACATTGAGATTCTGATGGGAATTGCATTGAATCTGTAGATTGCTTCCAGCAGTATAACCATTTTCACCATATTGATTCTGCCAATCCATGAACATGGCACCTTCTAGTGTCCTCTTTAATTTCTTTCATCAAAGTTTTTTAGCTTCCAGTGAAGAAGTCCTTCACTTCCTTAGTTAAATTTATTCCTTGGTGTATTTTTTTTATCTTATTGTGAATGGAATTATTTTCCTGATTTTTTTTTCTCAGTCTGTTCATTTTTGGTATACAGAAAAGCTATTGATTTTTGTATGTTGATTTTGGAACCTGTTACTTTGCTAAAAGTGTTTATCAGATCTAAGAGTTTTCTAGTAGAGTCTTTCAAGTCTTTTAAGTATATGATAACATCATTTGCAAATAGGGATAATTTGACTTCTTCCTTTCTTATTTGAATTCCTTTTCTTTCCTTCTCTTGCTTTATTCCTCTACTAAGAATTCAAGCACTAGATTGAATAATAATTGGGAAAATGGACTTATCTTGTTCTTGTCATTAGAGAAAATGATTTTCATCTTTTTTCCCATCTAGCATAATGTTGGCTGTAGGTTTGTCATATATAGCCTTTATTATGTTGAGGTATGTTCCTTCCATTATTAGTTTCTTGAGAGCTTTTATCATGAAAAGATGTTGAATTTTGTCAAAGGCTTTTTCTGAATCTATTGGTTTTAACCAAGTGCCATCAAAAATAATAAATAAATAAAAGAAATTTCAAACGCAAACTTATAAATTCTGGCACATGCATTATGCAGCTTAATTGATGTGGTGAGGTTCCCAGTCAGTCCCAAGTTATTGTCAGTTGTGTTTAAAGCCTTGGGTGATTTGCTGAGTATTTCCCTGCCCTTAATTTTGTGAAAACATGCCTCTCAAAAAGTAAATGTGTCCAAAAAGTAAGTAAAAGTTAACATGCTTAATTGAAGTCATAAGTAAAAATTTTAGATGTGTTGAAAAGTAGAATGTCTTTAGTGGAAGTTGGGTGGTGTAGGGAAAATGAATAAAGCATCTGCAGTAAGGAACTGAAATCTATGCATCCAGAGCATTTGCAGTTTTTCCTCAATGGCAGTTTCCTTGGAACCATATACCAAGGGTACCAAGGCTGTACTATACACATATGTTTTATCTTTGTAGTTGCCCCCATGGTCTTAAGTTTTCTGTTCTGTTGTCTCTTTGTTTATTTGATTTTTTTTTCATTTTCCTTTTTTATTTTGGAAGTTCCTATTGAGATATCCTAAACCTCAGAGATTCTTTCCTTAGCCATGGCCAGTCTACTAATAAGTCCTTCAAAGGTCTTCTTCATTTCTGTTGTGGTATTTTTATCTCAGTGTTTCTTTTTGTTTTGTTCTTAGAATTTCTGTCGCTTTGTTTATATTGACCATCTGTTCTTTCATGATGACTAATTTATCTTTTAAGGCCATTAACATGTTAATCATAGTTGTTTTAAACTCTAGTGTGATAATTTCAACATCCCTGTCATTTAGGCCTCATTCAGTTGCTTTCTCTGCATCTTCATTCTGGTTTTATGCCTTTTAGTATGCCTTGTAGTTTTTCCTTGATAGCCAGACATGATGTACTCAGCTGTAAAGAGGCCTATAGTAATGTGGTGTGAGTGAGGAAGGAGGGAAAGCATTCCATAATCCTAGATTATGTTTCAGACTTTTAGTATGTCTATGCTTCTGGACTGTGAACTTCACAAACTCTTTTCATTCCCTGCTCTTAGTGACACAGGATGGCTGTAGTGGCCTGGAGTTGAGTATTTCCATTTCCCAAGATAAATTAGATTCTAACCCCAGAATGTGAGGCTCTGATTAAGTACTTTCTCTTGGCGGCAGACTTTGTTAAGAAGAACAGAATGTTCTAAGCTATTTCAAAATAATGCCTTTTCTCTTCTTCCTGCTGGGAACACAGGAACATTTTCTAAAATATTGACTGTAAGAACAAGATCTAGCTCCTGGAGGTAAAATTCAGAAAAGTGTAGAAGTTCCCCCACCCATGACTGGGTTCCCCTAGAGTTCTTAGCTCAGAGTTACCCATACCAAATCGCTAGCAAATTCATCCATTACAGTTTAGATTTTCCTACCCTCAATATTGGTTCCCACAGAGATTTTTTTGCTTCAGTAAGTGGTAATTCTCTATATTCACCCATTTTTTATTCCAGTTTGAGGGACAATAGTTTTCTTGTGGATCTAAAAAGAGTTGAGTTTTCTATTTGCTCAGCTTCTTATTTATTGTTAGGGCACTATGGCAATTTTCAAGCTTCTTATATGCTAAGCTAGAAACCACAAATCATATAGACTTTTAAATCTCTTAAGTTTCTCAAAGTGGAAAATATGAACCAAATTTATTTATAAATTCTTACATTTTTCAATTTATGTATTTTATAACTGAATATAATTAACCAAAGGAAGATTATTTCATTCATCTCTGTCTCTCTCTAAGAAAGACTTATATCTAATTTAGACTGAGATTTGAACCTTAATGACAGGGAGAGCTTAATAAAAGGCTCAGAAACTGTCTTAGGTTTGAATATCACCAAGGAGACAATGCAATCCTGTTTTTGTTTTTATTTGATTGGCTTTTAGATTTTAAAAAGGTTTTATTATAACTCTTAGTGAAGATATATATAGCAAGTTCTGGTATACTATGATATGCATATGCCTAGAGATCATTGCTTTGTACCAAATCATACCATAAAATTCTTGTAGCCTATGGAGAAAGTGGGATTGGGGTCACAATACTAAAACCTCCATCAGTGGACTACAGATGTAGATTAGTGGTAGAATGCTTACCTAGTATGCATAAGGCCCCAACACTACAAAAACAAAGAAATAAAACAAACAAAAGGATATGAGGCCGATCTGGCTGCAACATCTGTCACCCCATTGATTGCCAGGATTGATTTGGCTCATCTGGCTGGCTAGGCAAGTGTCACCCCTTCCTTCTTCACTGTTCCATGTGCGTCTCTCCCAAAAAGAATGACCATCCTTAATAGAGGACGACCATTCTTCAGTCAGGAGTATACAAGTAGCTGTGCTCCCCTGCTAGAACCTCCAAACAAGCTCTCAAAACAAAACAAAAAACAGACTTCATCAATGACTCATTTAAAAGAGATAGGAAGATAAGGGGTTAGAAGATGTAACTCAATGGTAGAGCAGTTACCAAACATGCACAAAGCCCTGGCTTTGATCTCCAATACTGCAAAAAATAAACAACTAAATAAATGTAGGAACTTAACTTAAAATGGCAACACAGATTCACACATTAAATGGTACTACATACTACCACAACAATACTACATATGGCAATATAACATTTCAATACCTAATACTATGTAAGTCATAATACATTATAGCAAAACAAATACAGCACTTTACCTTGATAAATAACTGAAGTTTTATCAATGCTTTTTGATACTACTTGAGATACCTAAAATATCATTAAAGGAGAAAATAAACAAAGAGAAATTATGGAACTAAGAAGAGAGAAGACAGGCAAAGAGAATGCCAGGTCACAGGTTTCTCACATCCAAAGCTGCCTACTAAAATCCAAGCTATGTATACACATGTAGGTTAATTTGTGACCCAGGACAAACAGCATTCAGGGTTCACTAAGAACTGAGTTTGGAGTAACGTGGAGAGCATAGCCCAGGGGTTAGAAAGACAGTCTTGAAGAAGGTTACAAGCTGATTGTGAACGTGACTTTATTACCTGGAAAAGGCTGCATAACCGAACTGTAAGCCAAAATACGCTTAATCCCAGGGGCTTTCACCCGGGAGAGGATGGTCCCATTTCTTTTCTTTGCTTGATAAATTTGTGTGTTGTCCTTTGCTGTGGTGATCCAATATATGAACTCCCCATCCACAGTTAAGCTAACAAGTGTTTCTCCTGATGATTAAAAACATAAAGAACATAAAATGGAGAAAAATTACACGCCTTAATTTTTCTAGTTTAAACATTGTATGGATCCCTTTTTCTATATTATAACAGCTAGATTTCAAATCTTTCTGGTTTTTAATATGAAAAAATTCTTATTTATGCCATTTGCCTCAATGGGATATTTTTTCATTTTAGCTTCACATCAAGTCAATAAGGTGAATACAATTATTATCAGCCTCATTTTATGAAAGTGAAAACTGAGACTTGAAGGAATTAAATTATCTACTGAAGACTGCAAAGGCACCCAAGGACAGAGCCAGGATTTCAAAACTGCCTGTGTGACTCCAAGTCAGACAATGTCAGTCCATCAACAGCAAATGAAAGCTACTGAACTCAGTGCCTTGCTCAGTACTTCTATCAGTGATTTGGGATTAATTTGCAGTAAATTATGTATTAAATAATAACATATGTAAAATATGTATTAAATTTGCAGATAACACTTTCACTATCAGGTTCAGTTACAGCCTTGAAATTTTTTTTAAAACGTCACAAAAGAATCAGGAAATGGATAATAGAAACAAACATAAAGTCCTAAATTCAGTTTCAAAATCAACTCTACAACAAATGGAAGAGATTCGGCTTAGTAATAGTTCATGTGAAATATACAATGGGTTTTTCAAATGGCAGGCAGACCAAAGACCTGATGTTACTTTCAGCAACAGTAAGAACAGTGCAAAAGTTCCTTGCACTCTGAACAGAACCCACTGAGAGTGCGATGTGATATGGGGGACATTTAAGAGTATATTAACTTACTGGTATGAAATCACAAGACAGTGACTAAGGTGAAGAAAGATCTAGAATCCATATCACCTCCTCAGATTAATTATAGATAACTTTTGTTTTTCCTCTAAATAAAATGCTTAGAATATACAAAAATAACTATCACTACATAATTGAGTGGCTGTCACAAGGAAAGTGATTAATTACTTTGTAAATTTAGAGGTCAGAATTGAGACCAATGTATGGGAGAAATGGAAAGAAAATTTTGGCAAAATATAAGAAAAAAATCTAATATTTAAAATTGTCAAAAAATAGAAAGATTTCCTTATAAAGCAGAAACTTTTTTTTAAAATTAATAAACTGGTTAAGAAAGGCTATTTTTATAGAGGGAATTTCTTCTAACAACATAACAACTAAACAATCTCTAAAGTCATTGTAGTTTTTTAATTTTAGAATTATGGATCTCAATTATTGATTTATAAAAGACTGACCAGGTCCATATCTATCTGTTAAAAGTTCACTTGATAATTCTTATGTAACAAATGCTGAAGAAAGGATTATTCTGACACTTGTTAAAATGGTAAATGGTCAAGAATAGAGCAATATAACAATAGAGAAAACAGATGTTGCAATACCATAAAGATAGTTGGGGGTTTAGAGTTGACAAGAATGAGGGAGCCAATGGATGGAAAATTGCTGAGAGGAGACATCAAGGGTAGGGATTCTTGTTAAACTAGCCTAGCAAAACTCTTGCTAAAGACAGAAAAAGGGCCTAGACATCAGGGTGGGGATGAAGAAGCTGGTCAGATATCAAGGATGAGGATTTCTCTAAACTGATGTGGTAGAATTATTGCTAAAATTGAACTCAGCAAGTATGTACATGGAAGACTAAGGTAAAGGCCTAGTAAAGAAGATTCAGAGGCATGTAACTAAGGCTTGCTCAAGGAAAGAGTCTTTGTCACAAATTTAACAGAAATAAGTAATTTTTCTAAGAGAAGTTCAAAATATCATCTCTACTCTTACTCCTATTGAGAGTACACAGAAATTGTTTCTAAAATGCTCTGGGACTCATATCAGCAAAAACAAATGTGCAACTATAATACGCACACCCACAAAAACACATTCACGATCTCAAAACTATTATGTGATTTGGTGTTACTTTCAGTAATGATGGAAATGTTTTAAAACTATATTGTCCGATACACTACCCATTAGCCACTTCTGGTTTTTGAGCATTTGAAATGTGGATAGTGTGACTGAAGGGTTAAATGTTTAATTTTATTTAATTTTAATTCATGTGCCTGATGATTACCCTATTGGAAAATGAGTACATATTAAGAGTATATGGGATATTTAAAGTATATTATTTTCCCTTGGAATTACTCCTAATTAGGAGACCTCTAAATCACTAGATTTTCAAAATTTTCCTTTACAAGTATGTGAATGTCAAGTATCAACCAACTCATGTGGAAAATGAAATCAAAATAGAAACAAAATAGGTCACTGATAAGATCATGGCTGTTGTAGTTAGGCCCAGCTTCAACTTCTCTACTAACTGTGGTCCTTTGGACAAGTTACTACATTCCTCAGCCCCAGTTTTCTCATCTGTAAAATAAGGATGCTTATACCTATCTCACACACGTATGGTGAAGATCAAATAAGATAATGCACATGGTAGCACACTTAAACTACAGAGTTAAATTCATTAAATTGTAGCTTTGCTATTAATTGCAATTTTTTAAAAAATACAGACTTATGAATAGGTCTACATAAAATTTTCCTGAAAACAACTTGATTTATATTCTATAAGAACACTTGGCTTAGTCCAGAGCGAATACCACATGAATATTCTTTTGAGTATATGTAGAATGCAAACTCTTTTTAATGAGACAGGAGAGGTTGCTGTTACTAATGAAGTGTTTGTACACATTAGCACATTACCAAGCATGACAGGCGATACTCTCCAACACTGGCATCCTTCCAGATCTGTGGCCCAGATCTCTTGCTCTTGGGCAAAGTATATCCATGGTTTCTCTTGGTCAGAGGTATCAATAGTCATTGCCCCACCTAACTCAAGTTCAGTCACATTACAAGAACATTGACTTCTTCCATTTTGTTGATTGCAACTGTGGGTTGCAGAATGCGATGCAAGGTATGATTGATAATACTGCAGTAGAGCATCTGATAGCCCAAATCAGAAACCTCTGTCCAATACAAACGACTGCAGAGAGAAAAGTCACTCCAACTTAATGAGAGAAAAAAGGAAACATTTCAAATACTAGCTTCTAATAAAGTTCTACCATTCTTAGATATAGCCGTAAAAAAGAGTGTGTCCAAATGTCCAATAAACTTCTAAGGTGAAGGAATTCATAAGCACTCTAACTTGTAGTGTTTTCAATAATTTTAATTAGATGTGTTAACAACTAAAGTCTTGGACTATAATGACTTAGACACTTATAGTCCAATGTTCTTAAATGGCCATTAATAGCTGTAAATTCAAAATGTATTATCATTATGCCTATCTCCATTCTCTTCCTCTTGTTTCTGCTTCTTAATACTAGTTAACTAAATAACTAGTTTCAAATAGTCTATACTCCTGCTTATGGCACAAGTAAAAACATATTTTTCCAATTGCTACTCAGTTGCTAAGTGGAGGCCTTAAAATTTCTCTACAAAGACCTTAATTAAACAAGAAGGCTAAGCCCAGAACAGTTTTTTTGGTATAAGAGCTGCTGTCTGTCTGTTCACCTCATCTCCTCCCACTGTCTCAGCCCCATTCCTGTTCTTGCCAACTGATGATATTATAAAATTCCCTGGCACAAAAAAATCTACTATTGACTTCCTCCTAGTCACTGGCCTAACTTTTTAGCCTAGTCAATTTCAGTGTGGCAGCTGGGGGCATATGGTGGAGCACCTGCCTAATAAGCACAAGGTCCTGAGTTCAAACTACTATAACAAAAGCAAAAAAATGTCAGTATGGATTAAGATCACATATTTGTGTTGTGGCCCTGAAATTTGCATGCAGAATTATAAGTTAATAAGGTGACGCAGGTTATTTTCCCATCATTAATATTAAACCAAAAAGATTACAATAAATGGCTCTATGTCTATTTCATCACAATAGAAAAAGATACTCACACTCACATACCTTAAAAGAGGATATATAGTAAAAGAAATTATTGTTGAATTTGTGTTACAAATCTTCAGCTCCCTGGGATATTTCAGCTTGTGCTCAAGATCAACATCAAATATTTGTGTTCCATTTTGTGATTCTTTCAGCGCAAAGTAGAGGTGCCTTGAAATCCAGTCAATTGTAATAAGTGTAATATCAGAAACCAGTGCATCTCGGAAAAGCTTAACATTAGGTACAGAACACAGCCAAGAAGATAGTGTTAATTCTTTTTTTAATTTGAAGGTTTTTCTGTAATTAACCATATGACTTATTTACTGCACTTCTCCTTTTTAATTCAAAACATTAATGATTCTGGACTGTGCATTGTTATTAAATGAGTCCTCTTGTCAAACTGCATAAATTTTTTCCTAGATTCAACTACCATGGCTTCAGCTACAATCTACAGGGCACTGCTAACAATCTATATCTTCAGACAAGATCCTTCACTGATTACTAATTCAAATATCAAACCACCTACTGAACAATTCCATGTGAATTACCCCCAAAAAACAGAATTAAGCACTCCACCCCCAAAACCTCCTTTCTTCTTGCATTTTATATTTTTTATGGATTTCCAACATTCACCCAAGGAGCCAAGCCTGACAAATGTGGTTCCCCCTTGACTTCTTCCTCGTGCTTCTACACATAGTGAACTAGCCTCACTTTAAATGTCTATCCAATTTGTCCTCTCTTTTCTCACCTCACTGCCTATCACATAACTCAGGCTCTTAACCTTTCCTACCTGAATTTTCTGACAACCTGCTAACTGTCTCAGATTCAACCTTCTCTAAGTCATTATTCCCACTTATGTCAGGAGGTATTTCTAAAAGACAAATTGATCATGTCAATGACCCACTAAGTTTCTTTACTGACTTGCTGTTGGCTTCCAGACTGACATCTGACTCCTTGGCACATTTTGTAGAGGAGATCCATAATGATCACGATCCACCTACCTCCCCAGCTGCCTTTTCTCCACTGTCACCACCACCTCCATTCCAACTGTTCTCTATTTATAGCTCCTGAAATGCTTTAGCTCCCTTGTTTCCCTGCCTTTGCACTTACTACTCCCACTGTTTTTCCACCTTCACCTGACTAATGTTCTTTGTGCCCAAAATGTCTTTCCATTCTATCACCACTACCACCTCAGTCTGGATTAGTTCTCATTGTCTGCGATTCGACCACATCCTGCTCTCAGCTTAGTTCTACTAGCTTGTTTTCTATATTAGCTAATATTTATTGAGTGCCTACCTTATGCCAAATGTTATGCTATATGCTTTAAGAGAGTATCTCATTTCATTTTCTTAAAAACCCTATGATGAGATACTATTTACCCACACAGGTTAAATAACTTGGTCTTACTCACTGCTCTTACAAGTTGTAGAACCAGAAATAAGTTCTAGGGAATCAGACTCTAAACCTCACCCTCTTATCCACTATGCAATACTACCTTCCTAGCATAAGGATAATTACCAAACTAGTTTTGTTAAAAGCAAAGGCCTGTAATTGTTCACCTCTTATATAGCTTAGATCTAGAATGTCCCTCGAAGGCCCATATGTTAAATGCTTGGCCTCAGCTTGTGGTGCTATTAGGAAGTGGGGGAGTCTTTAGGAAATAAGGCCTAGTGGGAAGTCTTTAGGTCACTGGAGGTGTGTCCTCAGAGGGGATTGTGGTCTCTTTCTCTCTTTCCCTTCTAGGACACGAGGTGAACGGTTTTGCTCTCTCACATGCTTCCCACCATAATGTGCTGCCTTCATAGGCTCGAAAGTAACAGAGCCAAATAACCATGGACTGAGCCCCCTAAAACTTGAAATAAAATAACCCTTTTCTCTTTCTAAGTTGATTGTCTAGGTATTTTTTCTAGTAAGAGCTAACATACCTCTATATACCCAGGTTCTAACACAATTCTTTAAAACCAGTAACTGTTTGAAAATTAATCCTGAGTAACATTTGCCCAAAACTTAGTCTGCATTTATTTGTAACTAAATGATGATACATGTAGCTACTTTGTCAATCATTCTGATCTGAACAGCCAGTAACTGTAATTACAGGACAGTATGTTACACTGCTCTGCTTCCTTCATTTCGAAGGAATCGCAAGTGAAGTACCTCAGAGCTGGAATGATTACGCAAATTCAAAAGGAAGACTGAGTCTCCTTGAGCATAGTAGCCCATCTCATTATCAGCTGTGTATCCCACGGCACTGATAGCTCTTTCTGCTGAAAACGTCCATGCAACTTGATTCTGATCCATATCCAAAAACACTACCTCATTACCAAGAAGAGTTATAAGGTAAGGAAATGGGTTGATTTCTGCAAATAGAAAACAAGTAGATAATATGCATGAGAGAACTAACTTTAAGTTGGCAAAATCTCTTGAGTCACTATTAAACAGACTTGAAATTCATGGGCACTCTTGGGGTTCATCTAACACAGCAATCTAACTGAAGATCTTAGGCCTCCTACTCTCAGGCTTCTTTAAACATATTTTGGTGATGAGGAAAACTGATTATTTTATTTGACCTTAACTTCAGCTCAGAGATACTGTTCATATCCTAAAGAAACCAAAGGGGAAAATGCTTTTTTTTTACACAGATTGTAGATAACAAATACCTGATGTTTTAGACCTTGCTGTGTCAGAAAATGGTCCTGGACCTTTGGATGTGAAGACTCGAACCTAAAGAACAAAAAAGGAAGCAAACAAACAAAAAGTTCATTGAAAGTTTTCCCAGTGGCAATTAAGTTCTGAGACTGAGAAATTATTGAATGCTCCTTCCACACTCCTGATACACATCATAGTTTCAAATAGTTGCTTACATCTAAGTATACTGCAATAAATAAGGGGAAAAATATTACCCATACCCATGTAGTTGGGTGTTTTGGTCTAGAAAAGTACAAAGAAATGGTACGAAACTCTATTATAAATTTATAAAATAAAAAAAAGCATCCACGGTTTTAATGTATGCCATGAGTGGTGATGGATGTGCTGATTAACTTGATTTTGATAAACATTACACAATGTATACACATATCAAATCACATGTACACCTTGAATATATACAATTTTTATTCATCAATTAAATATTTTAAATAAATAAAAGGGCTCCAGCTACTTCCAATATTAAGTGACATAGAACATTTAACAGAAACAAAACCGTACCAATTATGGTAAACTCCTATAATCTCAGCACTTAAGAGGCTGATGAGCAAGGAGGATCACAGGTTCAAGGTCAGTCTAGGCTCCATAGCAAAACCTTGTATCAAAAACAGAAAAACTAAAAAAAAAAAAAAAAATCAAATTTGAGTGGCAATAGATTATTTTGTCTTGACTGCTAATTTCTCTTTCTGCTCTGTCAAAAAACAGATGGGTACTAAGAAGTATCAACTCTGCAGACCCTCAGTGTTCATTTGCATAGGCATCTCAAGTCAAGGCATCCTGATTCACTGGGTGATATGATATGTTGGAAAGTACTCTAGAAGTTGGTTTACAGTGTATCAATTCCTAGCTATGAAGCTTTAGTAAATGACTGATACAACCAGAGACCAAGTTTTTTTTCACAGTATAAGGATAAAAGGAGATAATGAATACCAAAGGACCAACCATTTTGCATGGCTTAATGCAGAATGATCACGTGGACACAAATGCATTACTATGAATCTGAAAAGTACCCCAAATATAGGAAAGTTGTAAGGACATCCTTTATGCCTGCTGTCCTCCTTCCCCTGTGTACTTCTGTTGCCTACTTGACACCTCTAATCATAGTGCAACTCAGATCATTGATAAGAGTGGGAATTCTTAACCTAATCCTTTAATTAACCTTCTGTTGCACTATCAAGACTACCATATCCCAGTTTTCTGTCTCATACCTGGAAGGCAACAATGGACCCAGGACCCATGCCCTCAAGTTGAAAAGACATCACTGAAGGCATGACGTTGACAGCAGTCCAGTCTTTGAATGTTTTGTTTGTGTCACTTTGATTGGATATATGATAGAAAATTTCAAATCTTGTTAACACACCATTTTCATGCTTAGGTTTATTCCATCTAAATTCCACCACAATTTCATTCTGGTTGAGATAGTTTCCATTTGGTAATATAAATATTCTGGGGTTCTCTGGTGCTGATGGAACTGAAAAGCAGAGGCACAGATAGGGCAAGAAAAGAATAAAAGGCTGACTTTTACCTCTTATGGTCAGGGTATATACATCTATATGAATGAGTGCATCTCTCTCATTCTTAAGACTCTTGTTGGGAGAATAATCCATAGATTTCTTCAGGAACTCATCCTGACATTTCAGCAAATCTTAATGACTTCCTTCATCCAAACCAAATCCCAACTGCTACTACTACTTAAGCACAACTTTCTCATCTGTGTCCTGTATAGACAGGTGGCCCCTTCTCCTTACAAAATGCAACTTTCACTGTCATTCTGATAGAGTGATTTAGCTAAAGATTGAAATAGCAGTCATTAATCGGGGAGGCAGCAATTTTAACAATCATCAGCCAGTCCTGGGTGTAAAATACAGGGACACAAGCCCTCTTACCCAAAACCCTTAGGAGGCAGGAAACTATGAAAAAGGCTGATAACATCCCATTAGTATTGCTTGGGGGTCCCCAGTTATGTTAGAGACAAACCAACAATTCAATCTCTTAGTCCATTAGTCAAGAGAAATTTCTCTGCCTAATTTCCAAATCACATGCTTCTTAATGTTCATTACTCACTCACACCATTATTCAATATCCAGGCCTTCTTACATTGTACTTCTCACATGGGGTGACTTTTCTTGCTCCATCCTTCAGAACCCAGCTAAAATTTTGTTAATGTACTTATTCCTCTCCTAAGAATGTCTGAGGCAGCTTGACATAGATGTAGGCTTCATATTGTTTCCTACTCACTACAAACCACTACTGCTCAGTTATTACAGTCGCTTTCCTATTATGTTAGTGGCATATGTATTTATATCCACACTGTTTTATGAACTCCATCAGAGAAAGTATCTATTCTTATTTCCTGTTAAAGGTTTCCCAGATCTAGTATAGAAGGCTACATAGTAAATACTTAACAAATATTGGTCAATTTCAATTATCACTTGCTATATTGTAATTACCCTAAAAGTAAGGCCAAATCCTATCATTCTTCCTTACTGCCCTCCACATCCAGCAGATGTTGGCCCAGTCCCTAGTAGATCCCCTGAGGGATGCAGTCAAGTTCATTTTCACAGAATAGTGCCACCAAAGCTGATTATCTCAAGACAATCTCAAACAGAGCATACCTGGATCCAAATGCTAACTGCTCCACTATGTTCCTGCTGTGAGACTCATGGATAAATAGTGTTGGATGAATCATAACAGTTAAAAAATGCAATGATGAGTGGATAGCTAGGTTTATTGAGTTCTTACCACTTGCCAAACCCTGTGCTAGGAAGTGTAGGTAAATTAAATTAATATGAAGTTCACGTTTACCAACATCTACAAAAATGACAGAATGGCAATTCAGTGAAAACTCTGGATTGAGTTCTTGGCACTTAGTGGCACATCGCTTGGGCAACTACTGGGCTTCCATTTTCTTATTTGCAAAATCAAGATTGTAACACCTGTGTGCCTCAGAGCTGTGTATCAAGTGAAATGATCTTACTGACACATAATAGGTATATGATAAATGTTTAATAAAGCTGTGATACATATAAATGTGCTTTGCATACTTTAAAGTGATGTACACATGTAAAGATATGGCTACTAGTCTTTTTAAAATACATTTACAAAAAACCATAAAATTTACACATCAGTTATTCACTCACATAAAACCCTGAGTTACCATCTTTGTTAATACCTGCCTTCCAAGAAATTATCTCTGGTTTTCAATGCATATTCTCCTTATGAAATAGTTCACAAATTACCTAAAATATGTATCTGCACCTTTAATATTACTATAATCAAGTGAAACAATCTCTAAGAAATCTTTTAAACATTCTTTTGGAATAAATTGTGCAGGTTTATTTTAATGATGCTATTTTAATCTCCAAAATCCATTGAAAGAGTATTGAATCTAAACACATCTACAAAGCTAAAAGTTATTTTTAAATATTATTAACTATTCCAGATCATGAAAAGTAAGATTTGCTTCGTTTTTTTTTTTTTTTTTTTTTTTTTAAGAGAGAAATGTTTACCCCTGTACCTGTTTCAGGTGCTCGAAGTGATAGAGATGTTTTGGGACCCTTTCCCCAGTAAGTGTAAGGAGTGACAGAAAGATTAAATAAGGCATAGGGCTCCAGCCCTTCCACAGTAAATACAGGTAAATGTTGTTCAGTAGCCAGGAACTGAAATATAAACACGAAACATCATTTTCACAGAAGAAGAATTATAAAATTATTCATTCTTAAATAACTAAAATCTCCAAACTTTGGTTCACATGAAATCAACACTTGTAATTTTGGAAATGCTAATTTTGGTAATTCCTGTGTTTTACTTGATAGTCCAGTTAAAGTGTATCCAGCTTAGCAGTTTACACAAAGAGTTCAGAGACGTTGATGTCCACAGAACAGGAATGACTTTTATAACCAAATGCTATAAGAGAACAAAGGAGATGAGCATGGCTAATGGACAAAGTAAAATCAGTGTGTACAAATGGTACAGTCTGTTTGGGAAATGCTACTTGAACCAATACCATACCTTAGAATGAACACTAAATTCCACACTGTAGAAAACTATACCCCAGTCCACAGCAGGGGGAGCATTCCATAGAACTTGGAAACTTGAAGTATTTCCTTCAATCCTAAATGAAGACTCTTGAACAGAATCTGGGATAACTTTAGGGGAGAGGAAAAGTTCCCTATGGGATGGAAGAAAAAAAGAGGGTTTAGGATTATCAATCAGCATGGAATCATGGAAAATCAATAGAAATTGCTTGTCATTAATACTAAATCAAAAGTTTCCCAGCACTGCAGAGGCAGTAGGATCATGAGTTCAAGGCCAGCCTGGCTACATTGTGAGTTCCAGGCCAGCCCCAGCTACATAGAGAACCTATCTCAAAAAAAAAAAAATCCTATGTGTATGTTTATGAAAATTGAACAATAAAACCTGTCAAAATTGTTTTAAGAGGGAAGGGGGCATAAGGGAGAATGATAAGAGGGTGAATCTAATTAAGATACATCATAAGCACATATGTAAATGTCACAATGAAACCCCCCTGTACAACTAATATATGCTCATAAAACTGCAAGGCAATCATCCTTTTCCAACTTTTTAGGCTATAAGTTTAGGTTAAAATTAAACTAAGTACATATAAAACAACAATACCTTTTTATTCTTTTAACATGATTCATTAAAAAATGCTCAACTGAAACATTTATTTAACAAAAGGTGTGGGCGGAAGGGATAGGCAAGAATAAAATATTGTACCTGGCAGAGGTTTGAGGGATGTCTGAATAATTGTGAACTGATTAAATTTGACTGGTTCAGAAACAGACACACCGGTTCTCTGACCTATTTCCTGAGCTGTGATAATCCTAAAACCATTGATCCAGAAGAGTCGACCACTATAGTACATCAATGCATTCTGAGAAATTTCGGAAGTGCTCCAGGCTGCAAATTCTGTGATGGTGACATCTCCAGCACTGCTAAAACATAATACCAGTTAGTGCTTGCATTTAGAGTGGGGGAAGAGTTGGCACTGGTGAGGCTATGTGCTTGTATGTATGTGCATTTTTGTGTATGAAAAAAAGAGAAAATAATTTGCAACAATTGTCAATATTTTAGTTCCATATTAAATTGACTTTTTAATATTTTTCTTCAAGTAACAAATGGTCTATAGGTTTTTGTTGTCAGTGTGATAAGGCAATAGCAAGATTATACACAGGTTGCAGCTTTTAACAAACATTTTTGATTTGGATAGTACTCTACATAGAAGTCCCAACCTGAATTCTCACTACCTCATTAGCATAGAGATAATATCTTTGCTTTATTACATGTGCTCCTATAACCCTTGCATTGCTAGAAGAAAGACATAAAGCAAGGTATGTCTGAGACTCAGAAATAAGGTTACCATCTAGAAATGAAACCAGCAAAAAAAAAATACACACGTATAAATTTGCCATCTGTACAAAAGTCTCACCAAGAGTGTATAGATGTAAGGCAGAAGGGCTTTGAAACCAACCAAAAACAACAAAAGTAGCCCAGTGCTGGAGATAGCAAGTTAGTTGGAATTCTGTTATAATTTTATCTTCAGAAGAGGAAAGCCTATATGTCTGAGGTATGTGAAAAAGGGAGATACCAGAAGACCAAGAATTTGTGAGCATTCACCTCAAACTGACAAGGACAATTTTTCCTAAATGTGGTAGCCATGATAACTCCTTTTGTAGAGACACAGAATAGCTCTGGCACTCGCAGAATTTGTCATAAACTCTGACACTAGTGTGGGTGGACACTCTTCCACTCTACCCAAGAAACTACCTCACATTTAACGCAGTTCACATGACACCAAGAAGGCATGTCCACATGCCCACATGAATGAATTTGCAGTGGAGGAGATACTTCAGAGGCAGATGGAGCTCCAGTCTAATCAAACATGAAACTTTCAGCAAATAATTTAACCTTTCATTTAACTATCTGTAAAATGTGGATATAACAGTACCAAAAATTTTGCATATAGATGAAGCTTATCTCATTTCATCATGGCTTTCTCAAGAAATTAAAAGATGGGCTGGGTGTGGTGCACACACCTATAATCCCAACCCTCAGGGTCTGAGGCTGGAGGAACTTGAGTTCAAGGGCCATCAGGATACATAGTAAGACCTTGTGTCAGAAAAAAAATGAAATAAAAAGATGGATTAATGAAGCAATTCCATGACTCCCACCACTCTATCATGAACAGCCAGGCATAACAAGATAAGTAGCGAAAACCTATTCAAAAGATAGAGTTTGTCTATTGAATAGTTTCCCTTCACTGAGCCATTCCTCTCTCCTACCTTTTTTTGTGAGGGTAAAGGGAGTGGTATGAGGGTTTGAAATTGGCTCCATGCTTGTTAGGCAGGCACTCTATCACTTGAGCCATGCCCCGAGTGCTTTCTGCTCTGGTCCTCTTGGAGATAAGAGTCTCGCTTTTTGCCCAGGCCAATCTGGACCACAATCCTCCTATTTTAAGCTTCCCACTGTAGCTAGGATGATAGGTCTTCACTGATTTTTGCCCATACTGGCCTTGAACCACAATCCTTCCAATCTCAGCCTTCCAAGTAGCTAGGATTACAGACATGAGCCACTGGTGCCCAGTTTCTCTCCTACATTTGGTTAGTGATCTTATTTTTCCCACCATTAATCTAGCCTGTTTGTCCTTGCTTTATCCTAGTCACAACTGTTGTGTCACTGATGTTTATCAGCTTCTATACCTCAGTCACTATGCTTCTTTTCAGATTAAGGAATTCAAATAAACAGACTACTATTTAAAAACACTTGTAGAGTTTTTTTTCTCAATTGAAGGAAATTTTATAGTGATTTTTACTTTAAACATGTTTCTAAAATTATGTCTGTTGTCTAGTATGCTATAAAAATTACCTCACTGATTCATAACATTTTAGGGGATTGATTTAATTTTTTAATTATTTCTATAAATCATTTTGAAGTATTAACATTCTTCTCATTAGAAAAGTATAAAGTATGGCATTTAAAATCAAAATAAATAAAACTTTCATTTTGAGAATTCCAGAATACATCCTTAAGAAAATGAAAACTACCTGAAAGCAGCATAGTAGAGAATTATGAATCTTACAGAGAAAAGGTTTATTTACCAATAAATATTCTAGTCCTTTTTCTAATAAGATGCTATTTATTCATTTCTACTAAACTATGAGGACTTTGGACTTTTACCCACTTGTCCTATTTTATATTTGTTATTTCTACTTCTTTCCAGTGACCTTATAAGACATACAAAGCCAAATTCCAGATGGAAAGGCATTCACCCAGCAGGATGCACTTGGTTTGAGAGGTCTGGCCCTACTAGACCACCCTAGAGCTACTGCTTTAACCATGTGAAGGTGTTCATCAGGCTTGCTCATAGGGATGGCTATGTGTTTCAGCACTCCTAAAACTGTCTCCAGGATGGAAGATTTCCCTGAGAGGCAAGTTCTGGATACCATCCCTAGCTGCAATTGCTTCTTATTTTGAGCTGAGGACCCCTCCCTCACATGAAAATCATCTGCACATCTTGGTTGGGCCAAAAATTCTTATCTCTGTATTCTACATAAGTTCAATATGATCTCCTCATCTCAGGAGGTTAGTACTTGAAATACTTCAATCATCAACATGTAAAGCTAGACTTGCATCAAAACTTAACCAAAAAATCATAACACAGTGTTTGTACCATAAACTCTTTCATGAGTATGAGATATGTGTGGAGATCAGCCAAGGTTACTCTATTGAAAGTTGGTTCATTCAATAAATGTTATGAGTGAACCATTAGGTATACAGTGGTAAATAAGATAAATACAATCACTGCCTTCATTGAATATTCAGCCCAACCAGAGAGGCAGACCATGAGCAAATAACTAAGCCAACAGATAGACTGCAAAAAGAAAAGTAAAGTGAGTTCCTTTACAAGGAAATCTAACCAAGTCTGACAGCCAGAGAAAGCCTTCCTTACAGAGCAATCTTTAAGCTAAACTATGCTGACTGAATGTGAATTAGCCAGGGGAACTAGGTTAAGGTAGTAGTTCAGGCAGGGAACAGCAAAGAAGTAGGCTCTTTTGAAGCAGTATTATCTGTCCTGACATAACTAAATATATCTGAATTTTTGTGACAGATGCACCCCTTTCAACCTCTAGGTCAGAAATGTCATAGCTTTATTCCTTTACACAATTAAGAGGATGGCTGAACATAGGAGAGGGAAAAGCAATTTGATGGAAGACTCAATTACAGTTCTTAGATGCAGAATATGATGAATGACAGCATAAAGCTGATCTCATCACTGATCTCTTCTTGACATTCTCTCTAGTTAACCATGTGACATTAGCTAAATGCATGCATATCTCTGGACTTAATTTTCTTTACCTATGAATACACCTGCACCAGCTGGCCCATCCCTCCAGGAAAGCCTGGGCTCAATCACCCTGAGTGGATCACCCAAAGCTGTCCAATAGGGAGGGGAAACATCCATTACCACACAGCCCAACATACCAACGTGAAGAAGGGCAGAGACACAGAGAAAGCCCTGTGAGTATCTGGATTTGAAATCAGAGGAAAGAGCCCAGAACATCCATTAAATCCATTCTTCTCTGCAGTAAGAAGAATGGGTGTGTGCGTGTGTGTGTGTGTGTGTGTGTGTGTGTGTGTTCTTTAGTATTTTTTAATTAATTTTTTAATTTGTTGTTACATATCTTCCTCTTCCATTCTGTCCAATATCAATTGCTTAGCCCTCCCTTGTTCTACTTTCCTTTCTCTCCCCCCATTTTTTCTTCTCTTTTCTTCTTCCCTCTCTTCCTTTCTTCTCCTTATCTTCCTCTCCTCCCCCTTGGCTCTTTCCCTCCACTGTCCCTCCTCCAAACTCACCACTCACTGAATAGTCTATTATATCAAGTTACCTCCATCCTTCCAATCCCTCCACATCCCTGACAATAGCCTTCTCCCCCATAATAAGTGAACTACACCTTACACACATTAGGGCCTTATTACCCTGTAGTCCCTGCACTTCCTACTTCTTCTCCCCTTGCACAACCCCTCCTTCTAGTGTCATCTTTTAATTACCTAAGTATCTGTCTCTATCCAAACAACTGTAATCTCCCCAATACCTGCTATTTATAGTTAATATCACCAAGGGGTTTTATATATTATGTAAATAACTGATGTAACATTAACTCTGTGAATTTGTCATTGCTAAGTTATACCTCCAGGTCAGGGAACAGAAATATTACAACAACTAGTTAACAACTAAGCTAGTCAGAGCATAGAAAGTAAGTCAAGAAAAAGATAACAGGTGATTAATACTCCCAACTAACTAATCAACAACACACAAGCAAAGCAAAAAAATAGAAACATGGGGAGAAAAAGAAGGCAGGGGAATATGACTCCTCAAAAGACTAACAATAACATTATAGAGGATTTGGTGGAAAGTAAAGGGATGAATCCCCAGTTACTGACATCAGAAGAATGATAATAAGAATGTTCAATGGCTTAAAGAGGGAATACAAAAACAATTCAATGACTCCCAAGAGAACAAGGATAAAAAACTCAAGAAAACTGGAGGGGGTGCTGTTTCTTGTGCTCCCTCCTTTGCTCTAGTGAGGTTCTCTCTCTCACTCCTTGGATATTACTGAACCTAACTGGGCTTAACTGGGGGTGGCTGGAGATTTTAGAAGAGACAGGATAGACAGACAGACAGAAAAATTGGGGTCAGGTGTGTGTTGTACACTCGGCTGGAGATTCACAACCCTCATGGCTTCTTTTTTCTATTTTGATTCTTTATGGCTTACTCTTTGCAGTTCTTTGAACTTTGCTTCTAAAGCTTTCTTTAAAACCTTGCTTAAAACCTCTTTCCTTAGGCTCGCTATGTCCCATGTTTGCTCTTAGCCTATCTTAGCTTAATTGCTCTTAAAGTCTTTTGCCCCCAGGCTTGCACTGTCCAATCTCTCTTTAGCTCTCTCAAAGCCTCTGTGCTCAAACTTGCAAGCCAGCAGCCATGCCTAAAAGCTTCATATACATAACTCTTAAGGTCTCACTTGCGCTGTGCACTGTTCCATGTTCTCTTTGGCTTTTCTTTAGCTTTAGCTTTCCTAAGGCCTAGGTGTGCAGTTCTTTCTCCGCTTTGCTTTCTGAAGCCTGTTAAAGTTCTAGGTGCAGACTTTCTGTCAACCCCTCTTTAGCATTTTTCCTTTAGCATTTTCTCTTTAACAATTCTTTTCCATTCAGCAGTATTTCCCTTCAATAATTCTCTTCCCTTCCAAAAGCTTCCCACAACAAAATACCCAAAATAAAAGCTTCTTCCCAATATTCAAAGGCAAAAAGGCCCTCAAGCAAAAAATCCAAAGCCTAAAGTAAAGCCCCAAAAGGCAAAGCCAAAAGTTCCTCTTCCTCCTTCAGGGGTCCCTTATAGCAGCTAATATGGTGGAGTCATGAGGAGGGGTGTGACATTGTAACAGGAGAAACCTGTGTTCCTGCTTCTCTGAACACAACTTAGGAGATGCAGCTGTTCTGCCTTTCCCTGTTTCATGGCCCAGGGGCTGTGCCTATCTCCACCTACAGGTAAAAGCATCTCACTTTGGTTGTGTCCAGTTCTCATAGGCTATAATCTGCTCCCCAAAGAAGACATAAAAACAACTAGGCAGGCACTCTTACTATTTGAGCCACTCCATCAGCACAGAAACAACTAAATGAACTCAAAGAGGTTTTCCACAAACTCCAAAATGAAACTAAGGAGGTTATTTTTTTTAAAAAAAGAGATAAATGAAATAAAGAAGACATCACAAGATATGAAAGAGGGATTTAACAAAGATATGGAACATCTCAGAAAAAATAACCAAACAGAAATCCTGGAAATAAAATTTTCTTAAGTCAAATAAAAAATACAGTTGAAAGCCATTCCAGCAGACTGGAACAAGTAGAAGACAGAATTTCAGGACTTTAAGACAAAATATATATTAAAGAAAAAGCAAAAGAATCCTTAGACAAAAGACTCAAGAGCTGTGAAAGGAATACACAAGAACTCTGCAATTCCATCAAAGGAAATACCTGTGAATCATGGGCATCAAAGGAGAAGAGAGGCAAGCCAAAGGCATAAGAAATAGATTTAACAAAATAATAGCAGAAAACATCTCAAATCTTGAGAAAGAGATGCCCATCCAGGTACAGGAACTCTCCAGGACACCAAACAGACATGACCAAAACAGAAGCTCCCCAAAGTGTATTATAGTTAAAATAATTAGTGCAGAGAACAAGGAAAAAATATTGAAAGCTGTAAGAAAGAACAGTCAAAAAAACATATAAAGGTAAACCCATCAAAATAACAACAGATTTTCAACCAAAACCTTAAATCA